CTGCAGCAGCGGGAGACGGAGGAGGAGGAGGAGTAGGGGACGGCGCACACAACGGGCACCCCCACAACCGCCACCTTCACACTCCCCACCCCCAAACCCTAAAACGGGTGGCACGGGGTAGGAGCGCAGGGGACGGCGAGGGGGGGAGGCGCGCGGCCCCCAGGGCGCCACCATGGGGCAGCGAGGGGCCGCGCGCGGCCCTGCAAGGCGCCGCGACGGGGCAGCGGGGGGGTCGCGCACGGCTCCAGGGGCGGCTCGCGGGTCCCCGGGGGCGACGAGAGGGTCGACGGGGGTCGCGCGCGGGTCCCCGGAGGCGACGCGACGGTCGACGGGATGCCGCGCGCGGGTCCAGCGAGTCGACGCGAGGGTCGACGGGGCAGCGGGGGGGGGTCGCACGTGGCTCCCCAGGGCGGCGCGACGGGGTGGCGGGGCGACACGACCACCGACGGGGCAGCGGGGGCAGCGCGCGTGTCCCCCAGGGCGCCGCGACGGACAGGGCGGGGGCGCACGCGGGTCCCCCACGGTAGGAAACCGCAGCGCGCCTCGGGGCGCACGGCGGGCTGAAAACCCTAAAAAAAAATTGCCGCGCGCGGAGCGCGCGGCAGGAAGGAGGCGTCGCGCGACCGAGGCGCGCGACAAGTAGTACAGCAGCGGAAGCATGAGGTGGTGGGCCCACCCACAGGATCGACCCAGGAGGGTCGACCTGCTCTGATAGCATGTCAAAACTAGTAGTAGAAAGTAAGAATGAAGAAAGGAGGAGTTGCACTAGCAAGCAGTTGAGTACATATAGGAAACCCTAGATTGGGCTGTACTCGCTATAGAGTACCCCACTGCAGGCTAGACAAATACAACATTCTGACAGATTTCTATACCTGGTCTTTTGAATTCGAGCTGATGATGGAAGGCGCACAGATACTTGGATTCTTCGACGGGTCCCTGCCATACCCAACACACGGAACGCAATACGACAAGCAGCAGTACACGTATCAGTCAATGATGGCATACACGATCCTGCTGAGGAATCTAACTCCAAACCAGCAGCAGAACATCCGCTCTTATCGGGGATACGGCAACTCCGCCGAGCTCGCGTACAACCACTTGAAAAACCTGTATCAAGCAACAGACAGCGTCAATCAGAGTCGGTTAATGGCACAGCTGACAACAGTGGAGATGAAACCCGGTGCCAACAAGAACGGATTCGCGAACAGAACGAAGCACATCGCCCTGCGATATTTCTTCGTGAAGGACGAGATCGAGAAGGGGAGACTCAAGCTATCCTACTGCCCCACGTCTGAGATGGCGGCTGATTACTTGACCAAGAAGCTCGGAAAGCAGAAGTTCGAGTACTGCATGCTGCTGGACAAGGCCACGTCACCAGCAACGACACTCCAGAAGCGAAGGGGAGTGTTGGAAACAAGTGATTTAAGCGCTTCTGCTGTGTCGAAAAAACATCAAGTCTTAAACGAAGCGAAGCACAAACGAAACATCAGCGAGTCAACCATCGGAGGTTGACAACTGAAGCAACCGCTGGAGGTTACGCGAAGGTCAAAGGTCAGCGACCTTTGACTTGACAAATACAGCGCGACAGCAAGGACAAACAACTGACTCGATACAGAGCAGTTGCCCGAGTCGTCACTGTATCGAACCGCAACAGCAACAGTAAAACAGTTTTTAGCTGTATCTCTTCATATTCCTTGTACTCTTATAAAACCTTGTACCGTATCGCCCCGGATATAGGCGCCGTCCGATTATAGGCGCCGGCGCCTCTATCTGGAGCATGGCGCTTATGGCCGGACCTCGATTAGAAGCGCCCCCCCTGAGATTTGTGTACTTATTATAAGCGCCACTATTTAACTACTTACGAAACTATTACATTGAAATCCCTAGTATGACAATTCTAGACAGCAGATACAACATCAGAGACCCGAAACAGCAAGTCCAGCAACCCTACTTCTACCTAACTAGTCTAATCATCGTCAGATTCGGGCTCCTGGCAGTTGTTGCCAAAAAACCCATCAGCGATAATGTCATCATCGACATCCACTTCCGCTGTCAGCTGGCTCCGCCTGTGCGCCATGGCGAGGCCGTCCTCACTGCCGTCGAGAGCGTTGCTGATGCCACAGGTGAGGAAGGATCGCTTTATCAGCTCGGCCGGCACTGACTTCCAGGCCTGAGATATCCACCTCAGGACGACCTCCGCAGGAGGCTTCTTCAAGTTCCCTGAAACAATACGGGTGAACGGTGGAAAGCCGTTAGTCCAACAAAAGATAAGCAAGGGGAGGGGGGTTGAAACTTCGAAACCGTGCTCATTCCATACCTGTTGCCGTCAGCTGCTCTTGACCTTCTGCCTCAAACCACCTCTGGTACTGCTGGCGGACCGACGCTTTAAAGCTCTTGTTGATGGAGACATCGAGCGGCTGTACCTCCGCCGTACAGCCCGACGGGATGATTGCCGGCACGCAGTTCATCTCGCGGAGCTTGTCCTTCACTTCCTGGGTGAGGTGACCGCGGTAAGAGTCCAGCACCAGCATCGAGCTCTTGGCGCATCTACCGAACTTGGGCTTCAAGAAAGGCTTGACGCCCTCCTCAAGCCAGCGGACGACGCCCGCGGAGTCCATCCACCCGTTCTCGTGTGCAGCCACGACCACATCTGCAGAAAACATGTACAAGCGGTTAGAATTCGCAGTCGGAACAGACCGTAGTTAACGAGCACTGCACCAATTGACTCACCAATTGACTTAACGAGCACTACGCTTCCGAGCGGAGTGCACGTCTTTGAGGAACTCCGCCGCCCGCTTCCAGTTGGTGAGGCACTTGGGGTGGATTCCGCTCTCGCGAGCCAAGGCGCGCACCGACGTTGCCACAGCAAGCTTGGCAACCCACTTCAACTTCTCCGCGGCGGTGTAACCTTGCCTCTTGTGGTCGTTGAGCTTGTGCCTGGGAGAGGGGGGGCGGGCATCACGGTTCTGGGAAGAGGGGTGGGGTCGCTTGCGATTCATCGGGGGATAGGAAGGTATCGGCAAGGTCTCGGGAAGCCCGTCGCGAGACCAGTACTCCACGCCGTCGTCGGCATCGTCGCCGGGAACGCCTTCTGGAAAAACATCTTCAGCGGAGCCGCCCTCGGCGCCGCCCCCGGCGCTCGCCTCCGTGCCACGCTCGCCGCCGTCAGCGCCGCTCGCTTCCTCAGCGTCATCGTCAGCTTCCTCAGCAACATCATCGTCGGCGCCGACTGCAGATTCGTCCCACGGGCAATCGTCAGGCTGTCCCCACCGTGAAGCAGGCACGTGCTCCACTTCCACCCAGTCATCTTGCGGCTTGTTAGACTCCGGTTCGGAGAGGAATTCGTCAAACGCCGATGGGAGCAGCAGCGTGAGCACGGGCGCAGCTCCAGCGTATAGCGGAGGCACAGGAATCTGCGTAGACGGAGGAATAGGAGGAACAGGAGGCTCAGGAGGTGCAGGAGGCGAAGGAGGAGCAGGAGGCGCAGGAGGCGCAGGAGGCTGTGGTGGCGCTGGTGGTGTTGGTGGGACGCGGGAGTACCACCCGTCTGCGTCTACTCTAAACGCGGGCCTACGCGTAGGCTTTTTCTTGACCAAGAAGTGCACGCCGCTGAATTCCGCCATGGCTTCCGCAGCATGGCGGGAGTGACCAAGAACCAAGAACGGGAAACTGAAAGAATGGATGAACAAATGAAAGATTCAAAGGGACCCCTTCTGGCTAGCGCCACGGGGTCCTCGTCGTGGAGAGACGGGTGTCCCCTGTCTGAACCCGGAGAAGAGGGTATCGCGCCACGCACGATGCTGCGCTGGCAGGGCATTCCAGCCGATTCTAGATGGTTCGGGTGAATTGCAGCTGCCACCCAGCGCATGAAAGCCTGATTGGGCCGCAAAGCAACTTTCACGTCAGCGCTGGCAGATGCGCCGCTCCTGGACGGGCTTTGTACGGCTGGAAACCGAAGCGCGGCAGTTTTCGGCGACTTTTCATGCATGATGCCATGCGCACGTTACACAGTCTTGTTCGCCTTAATAAGGGCTTCGATTTGATACTCAAAAGAAGCAAATTCATTTTTACCATTATATAAGCGCCGGCGCTTATGGCCGTTATTCAATTACAAGCGCCACCCCTAAAAAAACCGATTTTATTATAAGCGCCGTGGCGCTTATATCCGGGGTTAGACGGATCAATCTACTTTGCCCTCACATACTAGCGCAAGGTGGTTCAATCCTCTTCACTAAAACGCTTCCGCAACTACAACATTCCTACCCAGAGTTTAGCCCTGCAAAGATCCTAAGGGCTTTTTCTCAGCCCAACACGTGGTAACGGACGAATAACAGTCGAGGCCCGTAAACTGTGTTGTACGCAGTGGGCGTAGGATTTCCTTACACCACTTCCTCCCTCAAGAAAGCCCTCCACTAACGTCAGTGCATGCACATCAATGGCCCAAGGATCTAAGTTCATATTGGGAGTAGCAGCAAACCTAGAGAAGTAAAACTTGTTCCTTACACCACTTCCTCCCTCAAGAAAGCCCTCCCCTCCACTAACGTCAGTGCATGCACATCACGGAATCCACGGCTCCTGCCCTTGTGCCCTCATCCTCTTTCCTCTGCCCCCTCTAACGCATTCTCGTTCATCTGCTCTTCCACCACCAGCACGGCTCGCGGGCACAGGTCTGCATGCTCCAGGGAAACGGCTGCAGAGGAGGCGAGGGACAGCGGGTGGTGCCTCGGCCAAGGCACTACACAACACTAGACCCCTGCTCCCTCATTCTCGTTCATCTGCTCTTGCAGCACCAGCACGGCTCGCGGGCACAGGTCTGCATGCTCCAGAGAGACGGCTGCAGAGGAGGCGAGGGGCAGCGGGTGGTGCCTCTACACAGGCCTAGACCCCTCGCCCTCGTTCTCGTTCATCTGCTCTTCCACCACCAGCACGGCTCGTGGGCACAGGTCTGCATGCTCTAGGGAGACGGCTGCAGAGGAGGCGCGGGGCAGCGGGTGGTGCCTCTACACAGGCCTAGACCCCTCGCCCTCATTCTCGTTCATCTGCTCTTCCACCACCAGCACGGCTCGTGGGCACAGGTCTGCATGCTCTAGGGAGACGGCTGCAGAGGAGGCGAGGGGCAGCAGGCGGCGAGGGAAGGTGGTGGCGAGAGCAGCGCGGGAGAGGGGGAAGAGGGGAAGGTCCTTCGGGGGGAGAGTGTGGAGAGTGTGGGCAGAGGTTGGCAGGGGTGGGGGGGAAGGGAAGGGAGGGAGGGGAGCAGGGGAAAGGGAGGGTTGGCATTACACTCAGAGGCCTTACACCCAGTGCCAGCCATCTATGCCATCATGAATGTGAGTTCCCCATAGCAAGTCCGCCTGCTCCAGGGAGACGGCTGCAGAGGAGGCGTGTGGCAGCAGGCGGCGGGGGAAGGTGGTGGCGAGAGAGGCGTGCCGCGTGCGAGAGGGGGAAGGGGAGGAGGAGGTCCGCTTGAGGCAGTGTGTTTTTGAGACGTCTCAAAAACACCCTCTCGACACGTTGTGGGAGAGGCGTGCAAGAGGGGGAAGGGGAGGAGGAGGTCCGCTCACGTATCCCACCCACATGCACGCACATGCACGCACCCAGTTATAGATGTCTCCCACCGTGTCGGCTCGCCGCCACTCCCGCCTGCACACCGTCCCGCATGGCAGCCGGACTGCCACCACCGCCCTCTCCTCACTCGCCACGTCAGCTCCTGGCTCTGGCGGCAGCATTTGTCTGTAGTGCTCCCTGCGCTCCTGGTGGGATACAGGAAAACAAACAAACAAAAAACAAAGAGAGATGTGCTCTGATGATTTAAAAGACGTCTAAGGGCTGTTTGAGTTGCCTGAAACGTAGTCAGGGGTGGTTCAGGACTCGACACAGAAGTCACCAGTATATGTGGTTGTCCTAAATGGACGGACAATGGTTTAGGACTCACCAGAATGTGGTTGCCCGCTCCTTTTTAAATCATTGTGGAAAAGAGGACTAATCAGCCCTTCTAACCGGCCATCCCCTCACCTCCACTATTCGTTTCCTCTCTCCCTCTGCTCTTCTTCTCTCCTCCTCCTCTTTTCGCCTCTGCGCCTCTGCTCTTCTCTCCACTTCTTTGAGCCGTTCTTGCTCCTCCGCTTCTCTCCCCCTCTTCTCCTCCTCCTCTCTCCGCCTCTCCTCTATCGCCCTATCCCGACGCAACGAGGCTGCAAAGGCTGCGTCCTGTGGGAAATGGAGAGAGATTAAGGGGGGATATTTAAACTCGTGAGTCGTTTCAGTCAACCAAAACGCCGCAACGGCTGGGTACCAGCGAGGAATGGAGAGGGTTGACGACGTGCATATCAAACGCACTCACGTCTGCTTGGTATCATCAAACAACGTTTTAGAAACTGTTAAACCTGTTTTTTGAGAATTCTCAAACGCGCATATCAAACGCACGCACGTCTTCTGGGTACCATCAAACAATGGTTTTGAACTTTTGAATTTCACTCATGTGTTCTGCTCTCTCCGTGGGGAAGGTAAAGTAGAAGGTGCTGAAATGGAAGCGGTAAAGACGCAATGGGTAAGGAAGGACAAGGACGAACAGAAGAGGGAGAGTGGAGGAGGGGAGCAAGAAACGACCGTGCAAGGAACAAAGCAAAACGAGCAGTATAATACAGGTGCCCACACAGTTGTGATGTGCCTACCTCTCATACACACTCATCCCCATACCTGCCTCTTCCTCTCTTTCTCTGCTTCCAGTGATGCAGCTGACCTCCACCCTTCCCACCCCACGCCTTACCTACCTGCACCGCACCACACCCATTGCCTTCACCGTACCTGCCTCTTCCTCTCTTTCTCTGCTTCCAGTGATGCAGCTGATCTCCACCCTCCACGATCCACATCCAATCGCCCTCCCATCACGCCACTCCTGATCTCCCGTCCTTCCCCTCCCCCTCCTTCATTCCCGTCCTCGCTCTCCCTTCCTCCCGCCTGCCCTACCCCTCCCCTGTGCCGCCTCACAAGCCGAGAAACCTCATAGCCACTGCTTCTATCTCCCCCGCCGCCTCCCAGATGATCACCCTCACTCAGCGAGGATCCATCCACCTCTGCACTTCCGCCTCCTTCTCCTCTCCTTCCGCCCTCCCTGCTTAAATCTCTCGACTGCCGGCCCTGCTGCTCCTGCTGGTCCTGCTGGTCCTGCTGGTCCTGCTGCTCCTGCTGCTCCTGCTGGTCCTTTTCAGCAGAACGCAGACCTGAAGACCGCAGAGAGCGGCCTCGGCTGGCCTCTAAGGCTGCCACCGCTGCTTGCCGCGCCTCCTCCCGCGCCTGTGCCTGCACGCGCGCCTGTGGGCAGTGAATGGGGGAATGAAGGGGTGGAATGAAATGGAATGAGCCAAGCACCCTCCTGCTGCTGGGCCTGCCTGCTGGGCCCTGCTGGTACCTTTCACCCGGACCATTGAATCGCACAGAGTGGCCTCGGCTGGCTTCTCTACTGCTGCCAGCCACTGCTGCTTGCCGCGCCTTCTCCCCCTGCTGTGCCTGTTGAGAATTCTCAAAAGTGACTCCCTAATCGCACAGAGTGGCCTCGGCTGGCTTTCTCTACTGCTGCCAGCCACTGCTGCTTGCCGCACCTTCTCCCCCTGCTCCACCCATGCACGAGCGCCTGTGGGTTGCAGTCAAATTCGAGACGTCTCAGAACAAGGATGCAAGTTAGGGCAAGTCAGCAGGAGGTACCTTCCCTTCCCTTCTCACCCATCCCCTCTCCCCTCTCCCCCCTCGCGCCCACTCACTCGCTCGGCAGCTCCAGCCTTTGCCTCAGCGTCTACTCACTCTTCCTTCCCCCCATCCCTCTCTAACCCCACCCTTCCCCCTCCCCCCCTTCGCGCCACTCACTCGTTTCTCAGCTGCAGCCTTCGCCTCCTCCTCCAGTCACCGCTGCTGCCGAATTCTCACGCTCACCCTCCCTTTTCCCCCCTCCAACCTCCACACTCAATTTTTCTCGCCTTTTCCACCCTACCCTCCCCCTTTCCCTCTTCCCCCTAGCCCCACTCACTCGCTCCTCAGCAGCAGCCTTCGCCTCCTCCTCCAGTCGCCGCTGCTGCCGCTCCCTCACGCCCACCACCGCCTCCTCTCGCTGCTCCGCCCCTGCTGCGCGAAGGGGGGAAGGTGGGGGTGTGCGCGGGGAAATGGGAAGGGGTCAGGGAGACGACGATTCACGATTGACGATTGACGGTGAGATCGACTAAAGAAGCTGCTGGCCCACGATTCGCTGCTGCCGCTTCCCCACACCCTCCGCCTCCTCTCGCTGCGCCGCGCCTGCTGCGCGGGGGGTTTCGCGTCAGGCGGGATGGAGGATCGACGGTCACCGTGAACCAATCTCGCAAAGTTTTGTTCGCCCATGATTCACTGATGTGACAAGACAGCGAACTCCCGGAATTTGCGACAGGGTTCGCGAGTCGACTCAAATGACAGGGTTCGCGAGTCGACTCAAATGACAGGGTTCGCGAGTCGACTCAAATGACAGGGTTCTCGAGAAACACGTTCACTATTCAAAAGCTTATGAATGCTCGAATGAGACTGATTAGCGCGCCGATGTTTAGACGTATACCGACCCCACTAGTAACGCGTATCCCGTCTCGCCTGAGTCGGACGGTGGTCGAATCCATTGCGAGGCGAGTTTCCTGAGATGCCGGACCGGCAATAGTAGCCAGTCAGCCGTCAGCGCTAACAGAACCGTCACAGACGCTGCTAGGAGCGTGGCCTCCGCGACCGCCTGGAAATTTGTTAAAACGCGAGTCCAGGCGAAGCGCGTGCCGTCGTCGTAGAAAGACCGATACTGTCGAAAGTGACTGTATAGAGAGACAATAGCGGCACCGACGCCGGCTAGGATGACGGTGATCGTCGTATTGGACAGACGCATGGTGCACTAACGGAATAACTGCAGCTAACAAGACATCGGGATTTGGTCGAAGAAGTGAGACGAGTCAGTCAGGACTCACTGCCCGGCATCTCTGACAATGCGAGTTTCGCTTTATGTTGAATTTGCAGCACACACTCATACGTAGAATTGCGCTAAAATATGTGAAAGTAGGCATGTTTTTAGGATACAGAACGGGGTCCACTATTAAACACTAGCTGTTACCCTTTGTTTGAAACTCGGAAGCATACTCGAGAAGTCGATTTTTTTAATGACCAATCACTTCCAAACGTCGTCACCTATCAAGGCAGCTTGCAAAACCTCGTCACATGGCGGATCGGGGAGGAGTGTGGGTTGATGGTAGGTAGCGCAATTCCCCCGGATGTCGCCTTTACGACTTGACGACGAATAAAACATTACGGTTTGTCACGAACTATACAAGGCCTGATCCAGACCAGCATACATTGAGGGTATTTACCCTTTTAACATGAGCTTTGGGCGCAACCTGTTCAGGTAGAATTTATGGTACCGTCGCCGCAGGGCACGGCAAGATTTTGCGGCGGTGAGCAGGTGGTTCTGGTTTTGACACGGAGTCAACGTCGAGATTTTGAATCTGCGCATCGGATGAACTGGGCCCCCCGAGCCGCCCCCCAGCCAAATCACTAAAATCAAACCCCTTCAAACCACTCGTGAACAGTTTTTTTTTCCTGACCTGTACACCATGCACTTCCCCCCCTCCCCCTCCCCCCCCCACCCCAACCCAAACCAAACCCCAAACCACCCGTGCCAGGCAAGAACATTTCAGACGACGTCTCCATGTTTCAAATTCAACGCTCCGTCCCTAGCTACCGTACAAATGCCGAGCAGAATATGGGAGACCAGACCAAAGGTGGCTCTCTCCCTCACTCCCTCCCAACGCGATGACGCGGTTTTCTGGTCTACCGCTTTCGCAGAACACCACCTCACTGCTCAGCTCAGAGGGGCCGGACCGGACTCGGTTCGGTCTGGCTCGGTATCTACGGTACACTTCCCCTGACGTCTATGACGGACGATGTGCTTCCAGATTCTGTTGCGCTGAGGTGGACAGGCGATGCATCCCTGTGGCTATGCGACGAAAACCGTCCGTTACTGTATCGCATTCGCTCGCTCAGCCTCCGCGGACCTCTACATTCTGTCGCATCCCTTCACTCAGTCTCCTCGACCCCCCTAGACCAGCTCTTGCGTCTGTTGCTCCCTCCTTTTCCCCACACCCCAAACCCACCCCTCTCCCTTTCTCCCTCACTCCCATGTTTACGACATGTTCCACCAGCTACCCTGCCATGCAGGGCAATCCATCAGGTTTGCGAGCTTTGCACGACGTCGCCGTTCGTTAGTACCTCCCCCCACCACATCCACCACTACACAAGCACCATCGAGCCATTCACTCGAGCAGCAGGCAAGCACACCACCATCAAAATCGATTCTCAGGCTCCAAGCCCACCTCCCCCACTCCTGAGATCATCAGCTTTGCTTCCTCGAGAATCCCCCCCTCGCATTCACGCGCCTCCGAGCTCGCAACCTCCAATAATTGCGTCATTCACCGCTCGTTGCTCGAACCCCCAGGCTAATGCCCTTCAAGAGGAGCACAGGGAGTGCACCATCCCACGGATCGGTCACAGTTTCTTTCTTTGAATTACACCGTCTCAACTGCGACGATTTCGATTTCGTCTTTTGAGGCTGAGATAGCTTGTAGTGCGTGAGACCCTGGGCTAGAATTGCCAGCTTTGGTTCAGTGAAAAGACGAAAAGAAACCAGCTTACGTCGACGCGCAATACGGACCGCCTCGATATCATCGCCACAGTGGCAGAATCTATTTTCGAGGCGCCCAGGAATCGACTACAGTGTACCCGACGGCTCGAACCCAATCGTTTCCCGACTAGAGTGACCCTGGCGCAGTGGCAGAACACTGGTCTGCTTGCGAGCAACCTGTATTCGCGAGTGTTCAATCTCCTTGCTGGTAACTCTGTAGGAAAACTCGTGACAGTACGGCATTCGCTCCTGAGCTTTCGCTTCTCAGCTTTTCGACTCTGACGGTTCAGACTCATATCCATCGCGTATCAATTCTTTACGTCTCCAGCTCTCTGGATCTACTGCCAGACGCACTTTCGATTGTAGAACTCGCGACGTAGCTGCTTCCGCGCAGTGACTTCCGCAGAACAATCCATCGGCGCAATGCGGATCTCCGCTCGGCTCCCCGCGCGCCTCAACGTGTTCCGCCTGTCGGTCGCTCTCATCGCCGCCACCTGCCTCGTCGTCCTCCCAGGTCCGTCCTTCCGTCAACATCGCCGCTGGCTAGATTCTGTCTTAATCACTGCTCAGACTGTCTCGGAAGCGCGCTCCTCGTAACCATCGGACAACATAATCCAGCGGCGGCCAGGAATCCGGATCTGAGTGCATAATTGTGCGAATCAACGCCGGAGAACGGAGAAGCCGTGTTGAACGCTCTGATCGGACAGCTCAGGAGTGTGAAGCGAGAATGAGAGCTCCCGAGCTCCGCATTCCCCGTCCTCTCCGCCCGATGTCCTTGCAGCACCCGCGCAGACGCGCAGCACGCGGAGAACGCAGCGCAGACGTGCAGAGCGCGCGCGGACGCACAGCACGCGCGCGGACGCGGAGCACACGCGGAGGCGATGAGCACCAGTCCTTCTCCTCCCCGCACCTCCTCTAGTCCTCCGCTTTCCTGGTTTCCCCCTTCACATCTCGATCTCCCTTCCCGCGTCCCGCACTCCCCACCTCCGCAACCGGCAGTGCTTCGAATATGCCTTCAGAGCCAACTCCGCCCATCCCGTTTCTTCCTCCCTTTTTTCCTTTCCCATTCCTCTCCTCCTCTCACCCCCTCTCCCCTCTCCCTCGTTCTCCCTCCTTCCCCCCTTCCGCAACCGCAGCGCGCGCGCAGACGTACCGCGTGAGCTCCAATCCCGCGCTGGCGGAGCTGAAGCTGGCGCACCTCAACCGCTTCTTCCGCAGCCTCACCGTGGCTTATAACGAGTCGGAGGAGTGGTGGGAGCCGGACCTCTCGGTCGACTGGCGATGGGACGACCGGCTCAAACCTGTGCTCGGGCTGCGCACCGAGGGGGCTTGCAGTAAGTACTGTGCTCAGGCTGTTGCTCTTAAACGAGTCTGCTACCAGCTACTTATAACGAGTCGGAGGACTGGTGGGAGCCTTACCTCTCTGACGATTGGCGGTGGGACGACCAGTTGAAACCCGTGCTGGGGCTGGGAACAGAGGGGGCTTGCAGTAAGTTGTGCTGCTCTTAACGAGTACGCTACAAGCAAAACGAGTTGGTGGCTTATAACGAGTCGGAGGAGTGGTGGGAGCCGGACCTCTCCGTGGACTGGCGGTGGGACGACCGGCTCAAACCCGTGCTGTGGCTGCGCAAAGAAGGGGCCTGCATTACGTAATGTTGCTCTTAACGAGTCTGCTACAATCGGACTGTAACGGCAGTTAACGCATACGCGTTAGCAGCTGCCGCGCTTCCCTCTGCTCTCGCCCTCCCACCGTCCCCCACTTCTCCTCTCACTGTCACCACCCTCCCTCCCTCTCCTCCCACGCCCTTCTCCCCTGCGCCAATAGCGGCCGTGACGGCAGTAAAGATAGCGACGTTTGGGGCGCCGCCTCGCCTCGACGAACGGCAGTGACAGCTTTTGATTCGACTCATACGCAGACTTTCGGGGCGCCGCCTCGCCTCAACAAACGGCAGTGACAGCGGTAGAGGTGGCGCGCGCACGCGATAGTAGCTTCGTCGCCTGCCCTCGTCGCCTCCTGCGCTTCCCTCTCCTGTTTCCTCCTCCCACCGTTTTCCCCCCCTTTCCCAGTCCTTCCAACCCCCAAATCCCTCACTCTCTCAGAGGGCTCGTGGGCAATAGCGGCCGTGACAGACAGCAATGGAGATGGCGTATGCGGTAGCACCTCCTGCACTTCCCTCTCCTGTTTCGTGTTTTGAGTTGACTCAAAACACGACTCATTATACGCGGTAGCAGCTCCTGCGCTTCCCTCTCCTGTTTCCTCCTCCCACCGTTTTCCCCCCCTTTCCCTGTCCTTCCAACCCCCAAATCCCTCACTCTCTCAGAGGGCTCGTGGGCAATAGCGGCCGTGACAGACAGCAATGGAGATGGCGTATGCGGTAGCACCTCCTGCACTTCCCTCTCCTGTTTCGTGTTTTGAGTTGACTCAAAACACGACTCATCATACGCGGTAGCAGCTCCTGCGCTTCCCTCTCCTGTTTCCTCCTCCCACCCTTTCCACTCCTCGCTCTGTTCCCCCTCTCTCCTGTTCCTCCCACCCCTGTTCTCCCTCGCTCTCTCAGAGGCGTCATGGGCAATAACGGCCGTGACAGCAACGGAGATGGCGTACGCGATAGTGGCCTCCGCGTTTCCCGCTCTGCCGTGCGCGGCGCGCGTGTCGGTGCAGCAGGTGCTGGACTGCGAGCCGAGCAACAGCAGCTGCACTGGGGGCGGGTGGCCGACATCGGCGCTCGATTATATGGTGGATGCGACCCAGGCGAACGGGGGACTGGCGACGGAAACCGCTTACCCGTACACTCAGAAACAGGGCGTTTGCAATGCGACCAGGGTGAGTAAGAAGTGGTTGTGTCTGTGCGCGTGTGTGTGTGTGTGTGTGTGTTTGTGGCTGTGGCTGTGGGTGTGGGTGTGGCAGCGACGGAAGCTACGCAGAAGGCGCCTCAGTAACCGCCTCGGTAACCGCCCATCTCTCGCACCTCACTTCCCTCCTCCTTCCTTCCCCTCTCCCCCTACCGGTTGTGCCCTGCAGGCGAAAAAAAAAGTTGCGTTTGAATCTTGGCCAAAGCTATCGTGGTCACACGCCCCTTCCATTGGTACGACTTTTGAGAATTCTCAAAAGTCGTACCCTGCAGGCGAAGAAACTGTTGCGTTTGAAGCTTGGCCAAGCTATCGTGGTCACACGCCCCTTCCATTCCCCCGTCCCTCCTTACCCCCTCCTCTCCCTCCCCCAATTCACCCACCTGCCTGTGCTCTCCAGTCCAAGGAGCTGTTGCGCAAGAGCACCCCCAAGGCCGTCGGGGTGATCGGGTACGGCCAGGTGGACTTCTTTGGCTGGCTTGAATGATCCGGAAAGGCCACTTGTTGACCGCACACACCCACTCCTTCCTCTCCTCCCCTCCCTCCCCTAATCCACCCACCTGCCTGTGCTCTCCAGTCCAAGAAGCTGCTGAGAGAGAGCACGCCCAAGGCCATCGGGGTGATCGGGTACGACCAGGTGGACTTCTTTGGCTGGCTGGGACTCACACTCGCCGTGCAGGTGAGGAAGGGGAGAGGTGGGAGGGGTGTTGAGGGGTGTTGAGGGGTGTTGACGGGTGTTGACGGGTGGTGAGGGGTGAGGGAGACTGGGAAGTGATGGGTGAGAGGGTGATAGGGTACGACCAGGTGGACTTCTTCGGCTGGCTGGGGCTCACGCTCGCCGTGCGTGCAGGTGAGGGCGGGGAGGGGAGGGAGAGGTAGGGGGAGGTTGGGAGGGGTGAGAGATGGTGGGATGCATCTTCAAAAGATTCCTCTCTCTCTCCTCCATGCGCTTCAAAAGGCAGCATGCTCTCGCTAAGGCGTGCTAGCTGGGTCCTAGATGGTGGGATGGGTCTTCAGAACATCCCTCTCGCCTTGATCTCCCCGCATCCTCTCTCCTCTGCTCTTCTCCGTGCAGACGCAGCCCACCATTGCGTTTGTGAGAGGCAGCCATCCCACCTTCCTGTCCTACCGCAAGGTGAGTCAACGCCAGTCAACGCCAGTCAACGCCGGTCAATGCGAGTCAACGTATGCTGACGTGGATGTCAGGTCGCGTGGGTGAAATGCAGAGTGTGTGTGAGTCAGCGTGAGTTAACGCATTGTCTGCGAGACACATTTTCGGTTGCCCAATCCAATGTCTGTCTGTTACCCCACTCCCCCTCAAGGCCGTGCGTGGGGTAACAGTCAACGACCGTGCGTGTGCAGGGTGGTGGTGGATCACAACTCTTGTCTGACACCTCTCGTCCTCCCCACTCTCTCCCCTTCTCTCCCTCCTTCCCCCTCTCTCCGGCCCCCTCCCTCAGGGCACGTACGAGGACCGGGCGTGTGCGGGGGGAGTGGTGAGTCACAGCGTGGTGGCGGTGGGGATGAGACGGATTGTGTGTTGACTCCCGGCCCTCCTCTGCCTTCTCTTGCATCCCCCTCTCTTGTGCCTCTTTCCCTTTTCAGGGGACTTACGAGGACCGAGCGTGTGCGGGGGGCGTGGTGGATCACAGCGTGGTGGTGGTGGGGTATGAGATGGATAACTACGACACTCTACCCTACTGGATCGTCCGCAACTCATGGGGGCCCACGTGGGGCGAGAAGGTGGGGTGAATGGGATGGGATGGGATGGGATGGGATGGGATGGGTGTGATGGCATGAATTGGATTGCATGGGTTTGACAGAATGACACAAGAATGAAGGGGTGGGGATGGGTGGGTGGTGGTGGGGTACGAGATGGATGAGTGCGGCAGTTTGCCATGCTGGATCATCCCCCTTCTCCCCCTCCTCCCACTCGCAGGCCTACATGCGCATGGTGATACTGGGAGAGTCTTGGTGTCGTTTTTTTTTTTTTTTTTAATTATTATTATTATTATTATTTATTATTATTATTCATATGTCAACCCATCCACCCATTCCCTCCCCACCCCCTTCCCCCTCCCCTTCCTGCAGGGATACATGCGCATGGCTATGATAGGAGGCATTGGTATCTGTGGCATTCACTCCGTGCCGGCCATCTACCCCGTAATTAAGAGTGAGTCGCTTAACCTCCCACCTCGCTTCTATGCACGCATGCAAACGTGTGCACGCACCCATACAACTGCACACACACGCACACACGCGCACACACATACACACACACACGCGCACACACACGCACACACACGCGCACACACACGCGCACACACACGCGCAGACACACGCACACACGCGCACACACGCGCGTGCACTCACATGCTGGCGCATGTTTCCCAGACCGCCTTTCAATGCCTTATACCTCTGTTTCCTCTCCTACGCATGTTTCTTAAACGCCGTCCCTCTTTCCCCTAGCCCCTTCGCCTTGCAACCCGAAATCAACCCATGTGGGTGGGGGGACTGTGCGGCCAACACTAGTAGAAAGAAGTGTTTTGAGACGTCTCAAAACACTTCTTTCTACACACCCTGCAACGACCAGATCAACCCATGTGGTTGGGGGGACTGTGCGGCCAACACTAGTAGAAAGAAGTGTTTTGAGACGTCTCAAAACACTTCTTTCTACACACCCTGCAACGACCAGATCAACCCATGTGGTTGGGGGGACTGTGCGGCCAACACTAGTAGAAAGAAGTGTTTTGAGACGTCTCAAAACACTTCTTTCTACACACCCTGCAACGACCAGATCAACCCATGTGGTTGGGGGGACTGTGCGGCCAACACTAGTAGAAAGAAGTGTTTTGAGACGTCTAAAAACACTTCTTTCTACACACCTTGCCGCCACGAAATCAGCCCATGTGGTTGGGGGGACTGTGCGGCTAACACTGCCGACCCCTCTGCTCCGCCCTACAATGCCTAATCCCGCTGTCTCTTCTCCTTCCTTCTCCTCTCCTTTCTCCCTTCCCCCCCCCCCCCACCCACCCCAGCACCCTCCCCCTGCAACGACCAGATCAACCCATGCGGGTGGGGGGACTGTGCGGCCAGCACTGACCCCTCTGGCCCGCCCTACGTGTGCTCCTGTGCGGACGGCTTTGTGCCCGTTACCAACAACGACGGCACCCCCACCTGCGCTCTAGGTGGGTGTGCCTGTGCTGCTGTGTGCTGCTGTGTGCTGCTGTGTGCTGCTGTCTGCTGCTGTGTGCTGCTTTCCGCTTTTTATTTTCCTCCGCACACTCACTCTCCTCTTTGAGGGCATTTCCTTTCCCTTTACTCTCTCTCCCCCTTTAACACCAGACGATGTGTGCTCGTGGTTTGAGGGCGCCAACCCCTGTGGAGTGGGCTTGTGTCTGAGTGACTCTGGTTCCCTGCACCCACTCACTCTCCTTCCTCCTGCCTCATCCCTCCTCTCTCTCCAGACGACGTGTGCTCGTGGTTTGAGGGCGGCAACCCCTGTGGAGTAGGGTCGTGTCTCAGTGACTGTTGTCCCCCGCACACACTCGCTCCCCTCTCCCTGCTTCCCATTCCTTACCCCCCTTCTCTCTCTCTTTCGATACCCAGACTACCTGTGCTCGTGGTTTGAGGGTGGCAACCCCTGTGGAGCGGGCTCGTGTCTGAGCGACTGTTCCGCATACCCACTCAATCTCCTCCATCCCTTCTCTCCGTTCCTCTTCCCTCCTCCCCCCTCTCCCTCTCTCCAGATGACGTGTGCTCGTGGTTTGAGGGTGGCAACCCCTGTGGAGTGGGCTCGTGTCTGAGCGACAGCGCAGGCGGCTACCTCTGCCTCTGCCCGCCAGGATTCAAGCGCGGCCAGCGTGCAGGCGGCACTGAGCTATGCGTGCCCAGTGAGTGCCTGCACGGTGCATGTGTTTTGAGGGTGGAAGGGTTCTCGCATGTGTTTTGAGGGGACTTCCTCTGCAGCCCTGCCTCTGCCCGCCCGGATTCAAGCGCGACATGCGTGCAGGCGGCACTGAGGTCTGCGTGTTCAGAGAGTGCCTGGGGGCTGAATTGCTTCTTGCGCATGCTTCACGAGTGTTGAGGCGCCTTTTCTTTTCTTAAAAGCGCCTAAAAAATCATCAGAGAGTGCCTGCGGGCTGAATTGATTGCTTCTTGCGCATGCTTCACTTCACATCACACTTGATTCATTCATGAGGGATGTTCTTGCGCGAGCTTCCTCCGTCTCGTCTCTTCTACCTCTCTCACTCACCCCAGCCGTCAAGCGCCGCCGCGCCTCCGATATCTCCTACCATCCCATGGATGTGTGCTGCGAGCTGGTTTATCAGATCTCCTCACTCACTACCTCTCCCGCACCCTCCCGTTCTTCCACCCCTTCCCTCTTTCATCCCTCCAGCCGCCGTCTTCCATCCCTCCAGCCGCCGAGCGCCTGTCCAACATCTCGTACCCCATGGACGTGTAATGCGAGCTCGTGTATCAGATCCCCTTATTCATTCCCACTCGCACTTGCTCCCACATCCTACCCTTGCTCCCCCCCTTTCCCCGCACCAACCCAGCCGCGGAGCGCCCCAGCAACATCTCGTACCCCATGGGTGTGGACTGCGAGCTCGTGTATCAGATCCACTTACCCTCTCCCTCCCAACCGCCCCTCACTCCCACGTTCTCCTCTCCCTCCCAACCGCCCCTCACTCCCACCCACGTTCTCCTCTCCCTCTCCTGTTCTTCAGCCGCTGAGCGTCCCAGCAACATCTCGTACCCCATGGACGTGGACTGCGAGCTCGTGTATCAGATCCCCTTACCGTCTCGCACTCCGCTTACTCCCACGATCTTCCCTTCTTCCCCGTTCTCCTTTTCCCCCATCCAGCCGCCGAGCGTCCGCGCAACATCTCGTACCCCATGGACGTGGACTGCGAGCTGGTGTATCAGATCTACGGGCTGGACGAGGAGCAGTTCCTCGCTCAGAACCCCAACCTGGTGAGTTGTGGCGTGGCCACAGGCTTCAACCCGGTGGTTGTGGCATGCTGCGTAAATGGAACCCTCATGCATGGAACATCATGCATGGAATTTCGTGCATGGAAAATTGTGCATTCATGTGGACTGCGAGCTGGTGTATCAGATCTACGGGCTGGACGAGGACCAGTTCCTCGCTCAGAACCCCAACCTGGTGAGAGCTGCTGGGTTGAATTCGGTGCTGCTGGGTTGGGGACGGTGCTCTTGGTGTGGTGATAGATGATATGCTGCCTGTTGCATGGAGCCCTGTCCACCCGTCCTTTTGCCGTCCGTCCGTCCGTCCGTCCGTCCGTCCGTCCATCCATCCATCCATCTCTCTCTGCTCTCCTCTGCGCTGCCTGCCCTTATCTCTCTCCCCTCTTTTTCCATCCACCAACCCACGTGCCATGTGCCGTCCATCCATGCCTGCCCATCTATCCAGGAGAACAGCGAGGGGTGGTGCGACACAATCTGGGCCAACACAGTCGTCAACGTCACCCTGCCGCCCTCTGCTCTCCATGTGTCCGTCCATCCATGCGCCCTTCCTCCTCTCTCTCTTTCCCTCTGCCTGCCCATCTATCCAGGAGAACGATGAGGGCTGGTGCGACACAATATGGGCCAACACAGTCGTCAACGTCACCCTGCCACCCTCTGCTGTCATCTGCGGCCTCTTCTACTCCTGGTCCCCTGTGAGTCTGAGTCTCCTCTCAACCCCCTCCTGGTCCGCTCTGAGTCTCTTCATACGTCTCAAAACGCCTGTGAGCATCCACCCCTTCCTGTTCTGGCTCCTCTCAACGTCACTCTCCCGCCCTCTGCGGTCATCTGTGGCCTCTTCTACTCCTGGTCCGCTGTGAGTCTCCTATCCTCTCCACTCAACGCACGGTTTCAGCGGAGGGATGGAGAGGAGACTCAGCAAGGATCTACCACTTTTGAAAACTGACCGCTCAGCGAGGGGTGGACAAAACTGCCCAGTGGTCTTCAAAACTGGTCCTCGCTCAGTCTCCACCCCTCCTGCCTTCTATACCCCCGTCCCGTTTTCTCCCTCTCTTATCGCCTCCCTCTCCCTCCCCTTTCCCCACGCTCTCCGCATGCCGCATTCTCCCTCTCCTCCTCCCTTTCTCACTTCCACTCTTCCTATCTCCTCGGCTCTGCACTCCCGTTTTTATCCCTCTTCCCTCCTTACCTCCCTTTCTCCCTGCACCACGCCCTCCCTCCCTCCCTTGTCAACTCCTCCAATCGAACCTCTCTCTCCTATCTATCCCATTCAACCAAACAACATCCTCAACCGTTCCCTTCCTTCCCCTTCTCCTGCCCCTTCCCTTCCCACTTCCACCCTTCCCCCTCCTTTCCCCGCCACCCTTCCCCCTCCTTCCTCCCCCACCCTCCCCCCCCTCTCTTCCCCCTCCTCTCCCATCACCCGTCCAATCACAGAACGACACGTGTGCAGATGTGGCAAGCGGCTTTAACCTCACAGTCTCAGACCTGCAAGATCTAAACCCGGGCGTGAACTGCTCTGTGAAGACAAAGCTCCCCGCAGCCAACCAGCAGGTATGGCCGAACCAGCAGGTATGGCCGAACCAGCAGGTATGGCCGAACCAGCAGGTGAATCACTCTTTACCTGCACTGTTCAGATTTGGAAGGTCTGAACCCGGGCATGAACTGTGAAGACGAAGCTTCCCGCAGGCAACCAGCAGGTATGGCCGGACCGGACCATAGTGAACCATTGTGAGCCGTGGGGAACCATTATGAATCGCTGAGAACCATTGTGAACCATCCCAGTCTTCTCCCCCGTCTCCCTCGTATCACAAGGTGTGTGTGCAGGAGGGCGACGAGGCAGACTTCCCCATGTGCACGCAGTTCTACACTGTGCTCCCTGGCAACAACTGTATGCACATGGCACCACACTCTAATCTCCACTCCACCTATACTGTCTCTCCCTCCCTCTCCTTTCCCTGGTTCCTCCAGGTGTGCGTGCAGGAGGGCGACGAGGCAGACTTCCCCATGTGCACGCAGTTCTACACTGTGCTCCCTGGCAACAACTGTATGCACATGGCACCACACTCTAATCTCCACTCCACCTATACTGTCTCTCCCTCCCTCTCCTTTCCCTGGTTCCTCCAGGTGTGCGTGCAGGAGGGCGACGAGGCAGACTTCCCCATGTGCACGCAGTTCTACACTGTGCTCCCTGGCAACAACTGTATGCACATGGCACCACACTCTAATCTCCACTCCGCCTATACTGTCTCTCCCTCCCTCTCCTTTCCCTGGTTCCTCCAGGTGTGCGTGCAGGAGGGCGACGAGGCAGACTTCCCCATGTGCACGCAGTTCTACACTGTGCTCCCTGGCAACAACTGTATGCACATGGCACCACACTCTAATCTCCACTCCGCCTATACTGTCTCTCCCTCCCTCTCCTTTCCCTGGTTCCTCCAGGTGTGCGTGCAGGAGGGCGACGAGGCAGACTTCCCCATGTGCACGCAGTTCTACACTGTGCTCCCTGGCAACAACTGTATGCACATGGCACCACACTCTAATCTCCACTCCACCTATACTGTCTCTCCCTCCCTCTCCTTTCCCTGGTTCCTCCAGGTGTGCGTGCAGGAGGGCGACGAGGCAGACTTCCCCATGTGCACGCAGTTCTACACTGTGCTCCCTGGCAACAACTGTATGCACATGGCACCACACTCTAATCTCCACTCCGCCTATACTGTCTCTCCCTCCCTCTCCTTTCCCTGGTTCCTCCAGGTGTGCGTGCAGGAGGGCGACGAGGCAGACTTCCCCATGTGCACGCAGTTCTACACTGTGCTCCCTGGCAACAACTGTATGCACATGGCACCACACTCTAATCTCCACTCCACCTATACTGTCTCTCCCTCCCTCTCCTTTCCCTGGTTCCTCCAGGTGTGCGTGCAGGAGGGTGACGGGGCAGACTTCCCCATGTGCACGCAGTTCTACACGGTGCTCCCAAGCAACAGCTGTGACTCCATCATGGCGCGCTTCAAGCTCTCCCAGCTCTCCTTCTACGCGCTCAACCCCGGCCTCAGCTGCGCCGCTCTCTTCCCGTACCTCAGCGGCCCGGATGAGAACGGCGGCGACCAGCAGGGGGGGGATACACTCAGCGGCACGCAGGTGAGGATGAGGATGATTGGAGAGACTTCCCCCAGGCACTCAGGGGCACCAGATAAGCCTAGTCTGTTTTCAAGTCAAGGCAAGGCTGTGCCTGCTCCTTGGGTGTTCAAGCTCCTTGGGGCCTCTGCACTCTCCTTCTAAGCCGTGAAGCCCATCTTGTACAGAATCTCCCACACCTCCCTCTGTTTCTCCATCCACTTAAACCCACAACACGGTCCTCACAGTCAATGTCACTTTTGAGTCGACTCAAAAGAATCTCCACACCTCCCTCTGTTTTTCCGTCCACTTTGGGCCCACAACACTGTCCTCACAGTCAATGCCACCGAGCCTTGAGAGTTAGACTCAACTCAACAGCCTCCCTCTTCCCTCCCTCCCTCCCTCCAGGTGCGCATCTCCGGCTTTACAGTCAATGCCACCAGGCCTGCTCCCGCGCGCGCGCTTCTTGAGAAACAAAAGAACTCTTTATCAACCCTGTTCGTGCTTCCACTTCCCGCCCTGCAGGTGTGCATCTCAGGCTTTACAGTCAACGCCACAAACCCTGCTCCAGCTCGCTCCCTCCGCACCCTCGACCCGCACTCCACCCTGCGACACACGCCCAATAGCCTTGGTGCACTCCAGATACCCGAAAGGCCTGAGAGGCCTGAAACGCTCGAGAGGCTAGAAAATTCATGGGTGGCAGGACAGTTGTCACGCAGATTTCGCCGACAGCACCAGCTGCAGCAACAGCGGCAGCAGCAGCAGTCGTGGCAGCAGTGGATGCATGAGCTCTTCGCTCAGATGGCAGCGTTGGGGCCGCACAGGAGCAGGCAGGAAGGGCTGTACCGGCCTGGCTTTAAGTGGGCCTCAGTGGCTCTTCAAAAGAGGCTGCTAGCAACCACTAAAGCCCGGCGCGCCCGCCCCAGATGCCTTGCGTATTACTATGTGCAGCGCGGGGACTTCTGTGCGCGTATCATATCGCTCAAGTTCCAGAACAGTGCACGGAAGATGGCGGAGCTGAATAACGGGTATGTGTGCACCAATGAAAGGTTGTATGTAGGAATGGCGCTTTGCACCCGGAAGTGAAGCGAAGGCCGGGTCGAGTTTGTCTATATGGTGGACATATTAAAGATGTTTTAGAATGAATAAAGTGCATTGTGAGATGCATTGTCTAGCTCTTGTGTCATGTTAACTGGATTTAGTGTACACCACGTTATTTCTATGCTTGAAACCTGCTAGGGTCATACCCTATATAGTCTGATTATTAGGATTGGTGGCACCGACATTCGGTGGGGAACAGTCTCGTGTTCTTCTACAGTATCGAGTTTGTCTAGAAAGAAGGGATCCACCACACACTTCAAGGAAGGTGCTTCGAGAAAACTCTGCTCCGTTATGTTTCCCGTTATGTTCCGTCGAGTTCCGTTCCGTTCTATTAGAGTGTCAGAGGAGCATGTCTGACAAACGCTGTAAGGTGTAGAGAGATGTGAACTGTCGATTTCGGTCCCCTGAGATATCCGACGGTTCAACCCTTTCGACATCCCCCGACATCCGTCGACAGAGACACCCTTTTTCCGTTCGTACTGTTTCATTCCATAAGGGGACCGGCGGTCCGTCTTCTGGGGCCGGTCGTACTGCTGTTGTCCGGCTTGCATTGCACGCAACACAACGCAATACATTCCCAACTTAGCTCATTAGTACTACACGCAAGCCGTCATAGTATAGTTCGTGCTAGCCGCCGTCTTCCAGGTCGCCGTCGCCGTAATAATAATTGCTGTGCAGTGCACGCACGTTTCAGAAACTACTGGCTCTGGAGTTAAATAACGACTAAGTTCGTCCACGACCACTAGTTTAACTCGTCAAGTTGAAACGTAGCATACCCCCGACATTCGAGCGGACTAGAGAATATCGTTTTTCATCACTCGCTAGTACTAGTGGCTTTTCAGTCGCCGCTCGTCGCAATGGCGCCGCATAGTACCGGTATCAGTGATAGATCTGGCGACAGTTGGCTCCAGCCACCATCGTCGCGGTCGTCGCTCTGCGACGTCGCATCGTCGTGTCGCCGTCATGCGATCGTGTTGTCGGTTCTCGTCGTCGCGAGCTGCATCAGAACGGCGTCAGGTTAGAGTCTCATACCCGTTAGAGTCTCCTACCTAGTCATCCATTTTCTTTTGAGAATTCTTATAGCATTCTAATCCAATAGCAGCTTACATCCGCCATACATTTAGGCTCCTTATCCTTCCTAGATTCACAATTAGTAACGAGGAAGTACATAGTAGTACGGTTGTTTCTTCCGCACTCGTGGATTCATCAGTGCGACTAGATAATCATCTTCTGAGGCGCCTCGACAGTCGTCTTTCGAAACGCTTCAAGATTTGCTGTTCGAGGCGCCCCAAACTTCGGACATCTGTTTTGAGTGGACTCAAAAACTTCGGACATATGCATTCATCATTATTGCGTCCGCTGCTCCACTCTCCCCGCACCCTCGGCTCTCCGCCATTATTTCCTCCGCTCGCCTTCTCCCGCCCGCGCCCTCTTTCCCCCGTCTCCGCCTCTCCCCGCCATTTGTACCCCTCCAGCACTGCTTTCCTCTTCCCACCCCCTCCGCGCTTCCTTCCCGTCCCCTCTCCCCATAATCTCCCCTCGTGGGGCGGGGTGTGACAAAGACTGCTCTCTCCCCGCCCCTCTCCCCTCCTCCGCACCTCTCCTCTCCCCCACACCTCTCCCCTCCCTCGCCCCTCTCCCATCCCCCGCACCTCTCTCTTCTGCCGCACCTCTCCCATCCCCCACTCTACTCCCCTCCGCTGCCCCTTTTCATCCCCTGCCAAATCGCCTCCCCTCCCCCAGGCTACGCCTGTAGCGCGGTTCCCAGCTTTGCGCTGCTACAGCCGAGGCATCTGAACCGCGTGTCGAGATATGCGAGCATGGGGTATGACGGCGGGTGTGACTGCTGGAGTGTCGACCTGAACGTGGACTGGCGCGACCTGGGGGGCGTGCAAGGCGTGCGCAACGAGGGGGCTTGCAGTGAGTGCGGTGCTGTGCGGTGCTGTGCTGTGCTGTGCTGTGCCGTGCCGTGCCGTGCTGTGCCGTGCCGTGCCGTGCCGTGCCGTGCCGTGCCGTGCCGTGCCGTGCCGTGCCGTGCCGTGCCGTGCCGTGCCGTGCCGTGCCGTGCCGTGCCGTGCCGTGCCGTGCCGTGCCGTGCCATGCTGCGACATCCTCCTTCCCCTCTTCCTCACCTCACCACCCAACCCTCCCCTTCCGCTCCTCCCCACCTGCCTATCCCATTCCTCTCCCATGGCAGAGGCATCATGGGCGATCACAGCAGTGAACGCGGTGGAATTGACGATGGGCATGATTGCAGACCAGCTACCATCGTACGACAGTGCCTTCAACATCTCTGTGCAGCAGGTATGGTCATCTCGCATTTGCTGCATGACTGTTGAGTCGACTCAAAGGTCACCACGATGGCTGTGATTGCAGACCAGCTACCGTCGTATCGTACGACAGTGCCTTCAACATCTCGGTCGGTGCAGCAGGTGCGCTCAGGAATGAATGACCATGCTTTGAGTGAGGCAGCGTTTGAGGCGCCACAAAAACTGCGATATTGCGAACCACCTAAAGTCTCACAAAAATTCAACATCTCGGTGCGACAGGTGCATTCACCACCCTCGTGTACCCTCCCTCTCTTCCTCTCCGTCCCACAGCCTTCCTCTCCTACTCTTACCCCTGATTAATCACCTTCCCCCACCCCCCAACCCCTCAGGTGGTGGACTGCGAGCCGAGCAGCAGCAGCTGCAAGGGCGGGTGGCCCACGTCAGCACTGGACTACATGGTGGATGCGAGTAACGACCTGGGAGGGGTGGTGCCGGAGGTGCAATACCCGTACAAGGGCAAGCAGGCCAAGTGCAACGCAGGGAAGGTGAGAGGGAAAAGGCAATGCGGGCGAGGTAGGGGGGCAAGGGCAAGACGGGCAAGGTAGGGGGGCAAGGGCAAGACGGGCAAGGTAGGGGGCCAAGGGCGGGTGGCCCACGTCAGCACTGGACTACATGGTGGATGCGAGTAACGACCTGGGGGGGGTGGTGCCGGAGGTGCAATACCCTTACAAGGGCAAGCAGCCCAAGTGCAACGCGGGCAAGGTTAGGGTGATGCAGGCAAGGTGCGTGCGAGGGTCAGGGCAAGTGGTGTGTGCGAGTGTGCAAGGGCGAGGGCGAGGGCAAGGCGAAGGCGAGGGCAAGGCGAGGGCGAGGGCAAGGCGAGGGCGAGGGCAAGGCGAAGGCGAGGGCAAGGCGAGGGCGAGGGCAAGGCGAGGGCGAGGGCAAGCCGAGGGCGAGGGCGAGGGCTACATGGTGGATGCGAGTAACGACCTGGGAGGGGTGGCACCTGAGCAGCAGTACTCTTACAAGGGCAAGCAGGCCAAGTGCAACGAGGGCAAGGTAAGGGCACGCAATGCAGGCAAGGTGCGTCTTGACCAACCAACCACTAAGAAGCAAGGGCCAGTGCTGACCTGACCTGGGAGGGTTGGTGGCGGAGCAGCAGTACCCTTACAAGCGCAAGCAGAAGCAGGCCAAGTGTAATGCGGGCAAGGTAAGGGCAAGGCAAGCAATGCGGGCAAGGTATGACGTCTGAGGCGGTTCAATCAAGGGCTGCACTGCAGCACGACCGACCCACACAGGGCCAAGCAGGCCACGTGCAGTGCAGTGCAGTGCAGTGCAGTGCAGTGCAGTGCAGTGCAGTGCAGTGCAGTGCATTGTGAGAGCAGTGTGTGCAACCCAAGACTCTTCTGCCTCTCTTCTTCCTTCCCTCCTCTCCTCTTCTCACACCAACCCCCCTTCCCCACCTCAGGTCGCCCCTACGAGCAGGTGGCCCACTACGAATGGGTTGGAGTGTATGCTTTTGGTGCGACTTTTGAGAGTTCTCAAAAGTCGCACCAATATAGGGTTGGAGTGTATGTTTTTTGAGAGAGAAAAAAAAAAAAAAAAAAAAAAAAAAAAAACATACGAGGTCGCCCCTACGAGCAGGTGGCCCACTACGGGTGGGTTGGGCTCGTGCTGGCCGTGCAACGGTGCAAGTGCAACTGGCCGTTCTCTGCTCCCCTCTACCCGCATCTCTGCTTTCCTCCCCTTCTTCCCTGCAGATCGCCACGTCATCAACGCCACTGGGCTTGGCGCGCGCGCTATGAGCAGGTGGACTACTACGGCTGGATCGGGCTCGTGCTGGGCGCACATCGCAGGTTGCTTTTGAGTCGACTCAAAAGTCACATTGGGCTCGTGATTGGCGCACATCGCAGGTTCAGCTGGTCATTCTATGCTCCCTCTACCCCTTCTCTTTTCTTCCTACGCCCCTCCTTCCTGCGCCCCTCCTTCCTGCTCTCTCCCCTCCTTCTCCCACATTTCCCCCCCTGCAGATTGCCACGTCATCAACACCACTGGGCTTGGCGCGCTATGAGCAGGTGGATTATTACGGCTGGATCGGGCTGCTGCTGGCCGTACAGGTGCAGCCACTCCCTCTCTACCCCTCTCACTGCCTTCCTCCCCTCCTTCCCCCATTTCCCCCCCTTCAGATCGCCACGTCATCAACGCCACTGGGCTTGGCGCGCTATGAGCAGGTGGATTATTACGGCTGGATCGGGCTGCTGCTGGCCGTGCAGGTTCAGCCGGTCATTGCCTTCGTGCGTGGAAGCTACCCGTCCTTCCAGAAATACAAATCGGTATATTTTCTCTCCTTGGGGAGGGCTACTCCTTGTAATTTGGGCTGCTGGTGCTGCTGGTGGTGCTGCTGGTGGTGCTGCTGGTGGTGCAGCAGGTTCAGCTGGTCATTGCCTTTGTGCGTGGAAGCTACCCGTCCTTCCAAAAGTACAAATCGGTAAAGCCCCCCCCACACACACCAACAACCCCCCCAAAACCCCGTCTCACCCCCAAGCCGGTCATTGCCTTTGTGCGTGGCAGGGCAGCTACCCGTCCTTCTAGAAATATTCGTGCGACTTTTGAGAATTCTCAAAAGTCATTGCCTTTGTGCGTGGCAGGGCAGCTACGTGTCCTTCTAGAAATACACATCGGTAACGAGGTGACTTTTGAGTCGACTCAAAAGTCACCTCGTGGCAGGGCAACTACCTCTCCTTATAGGAATACACATCGGTAATTTATGTTCTTACTAGCTGTTTGTCTAGTCTGCAAGATGATTAGGATTTATTAGAAATAAAAGTGGTATTTTGTAATAGTAGTGGTTGTAATAAGAGTAATAAGAAAAGGGCGTCCCTTACTACCACGAGTGAGCAGCAGCAGGCATTATGATCATGCAGTGCTGGTGGTGGGGTATGAGTTGACTCCACCCCTCCTTGCTGTCAGAACACTTGCACTGGGAATGCCCGATTGATCCTAGGGAAGGGTTACAGGCTCGTTGGCCTGGGGGGTTATGGCGCACTGACCGCTACTTAACAAGCACTTTTATCCCAGTGGTCTAGTGACTGGGATTTTGACATGGTATCAGAGCGGTCTCGGGTTCGAATCCCTATGTGCGCACTTGCTGGCGGGGTCGCTGTGCCGTGTCCTATGGCCTTCCCAGTGAAGGGGGGTGTCAAAACACTTGCACTGGGGATGCCCGATTGATCTTAGGGAAGGGTTACAAGCTCGTTGGTCTGTGGGGTTATGGGCGCGCTGACCCGCTTCTTAACAAGCCCTTTTATCCCAGTGGTCTAGTGTCTGGGATTCTGACACTTGCTTCCCCTCAGGGCGTCTATGGTGACCCTGGTTGTGCAGCAGCAGGCATAGTGGACCATGCAGTGGTGGTGGTGGGGTATGAGTTCACTCCCCTCCCCTTGCATCTCCCTTGCACCCCCTGTACCGCACGCCCCACCCGCCTCCCCCATCCCTCTCAGGGTGTCTACGACGATCCCAAGTGCGCAGCAGCAGGCATAGTGGACCATGCAGTGGTGGTGGTGGGGTATGAGTTCACGGGGTCGGATGGGGCGGGCAACTGGATCGTACGCAACTCGTGGGGCACCAAGTGGGGCGAGCAGGTGCGGCGAGGGTGGGTGGTGTGTTGCGGATGGATGGCATGTGGAATGGGTGCGTGTGATGGCATGGCATGGGGAACAGATGGGGCGAGCAGGTGCAGTATGGATGGCATGTGGCGTGAATGTGATGGCATGTGGCGTGAATGTGATGGCATGTGGCGTGCATGTGATGGCATGTGGCGTGAATGTGATGGCATGTGGCGTGCATGTGATTGCATGGTATGGATGGCAAGTGGCATGGGTGCGTGCGATGTCATGTCATGGGGAACAGGTGGGGCGAGCAGGTGAGGCAGGAGGGTTGTGGGGTTGGGGGGAAGAGGGGGGAAGGAGGGTGGAAAGGGGAGGGAGGAAAAGATGATCAGATCAGGGCAAAGAAACGGGTGCAGTGTCAGTGCCTTCTGAAGGAGGTCAATCAGGCAAGTTGCCTTGTTCCATCTATCCATCTCTCCTCCTCTCTCCTCTCTCCTCCTCTCTCCTCTCTCCTCCTCTCTCCGCCTCTCTCTGCCTCCCCGTTCCGAGCTTTGCGCTTCCCTTCCCTCGTTTGCTATCAGATTGTATTTAACTTCAAGCTCATCTCCCCCATCTCCCCCCATTCCCCCGCTCCTTCCTTCTTCCTCCCCCTCCATTCCCCAAATGCCCCTCTCCCCCGTCTTCCCCCCATCAGGGCCGTATGCGGATGGCTTTTGCTTGAAGCGTTGGCATCACCCCACCCCACCTCTCCCCACTTCTCTCCACCTCTCTCTACCTCTCTGCTCCTCTCCCTCTCCCCCATTCCCCCTCTCCCCCGTCTCCCCCCCATCAGGGCCATATGAGGATGGCTTTTGCGGGAAGCGTTGGCATCTGTGGAATCCATTCCGTGCCAGCTCTCTACCCCATCATTCAGGGTGAGTTACACCATCTACCCCACCATTCAGGGTGAGTTACACCATCTACCCCACCATTCAGGGTGAGTTGCACCATCTACCCCATCATTCAGGGTGAGTTACACCATCTACCCCATCATTCAGGGTGAGTTACACCATCTACCCCATCATTCAGGGTGAGTTGCACCATCTACCCCATCATTCAGGGTGAGTTACACCATCCATCCCCCCGTTTCCTCACTCCCCCTCTCTCCTCTCCCATGTGCTCACTCTCTCTCCCTTGTGCTGACCCCCATGCTGTCCTTTCCTCCTCTGCAGCCGTCAATCTGCTACGAGTGTGATTTAGTAGTCCCCGTTCCCTCTCCTCCTCCCATTCCTCCTTGTCTCCCCTCCTCCCCCGCTCCCCCTTCCCCCCGACCCCAGTGACGTCCCCCTGTGACTCGCCTCAGAAGCCCTGTGGGGGGGGGCACTTGTCCCCTTGTGACTCGTTCCCCCTCCAACCCCCCCGCCTCCCTGCCCCCTCTTTCCCCCCATCACCTTCCCCGCTCCCTCTCCCTTCACCCCCAGTGCCGTCTCCCTGTGACTCGCCTCAGAAGTCCTGTGGGGGAAACGCTTTGTGTGCCCCCTCCCTTCAATCAACCACAGTGCAGTCTTCTCCTTTGCTTGCACTCTTCAATCTGCGAAGAGTAACTCACCACACTCCATTCCCCATCCACTCCTCTCCACTCCTCCCCACACCTCCCCCCCCCCATCACCCTCCCCCCATCCCCTTCCGCCGCTCCCCTTCCCCCCAGTGCCGTCCCCCTGTGACTCGCCCCAGAAGCCCTGTGGGGGCGGCGTGTGTGTGCCCCTGTGACTCGTTCCCCTTCCCCCCCTCTACCCCACCCCCCCTTCCCCCCATCACCCCCCGCTCCCCCTCCCCTCCCCCCCAGTGCCGTCCCCCTGTGACTCGCCGCAGAAGCCCTGGGGGGGCGGCGCATCTGATTCAGACCCTTCTGTTCCCTCTCCCCCACCCCCCCAGTGCCGTCCCCCTGTGACTCGCCGCAGAAGCCCTGTGGGGGCGGCGTGTGTGTGCCCGAGGACGGTGGCTACTCCTGTCAGTGTCCGGCGGGCTTTGTCAGTTACACCAACGACGACGGCACCGCGACTTGCGCCCCTCGTGAGTCGCTGGCTTGCGAAAGCGGCCTTGTGTCTCTGCATGCACATGCACGCAGCACGCATCAGCTCCTTCCTTCCTTCTCATGCCTTGTTCCCTGCTCCCCTTTCTCACCACACCACCCCCCCCTTCCGCACTCCTCCCTCTACGCTCCCCTTCCCCACTCCTCCCCCTACGGTCCCCTTCCCCACTCCTCCCCCTACGGTCCCCTTCCCCACTCCTCCCCCTACGGTCCCCTTCCCCACTCCTCCCCCTACGGTCCCCTTCCCCACTCCTCCCCCTACGGTCCCCTTCCCCACTCCTCCCCCTACGGTCCCCTTCCCCACTCCTCCCCCTACGGTCCCCTTCCCCACTCCTCCCCCTACGGTCCCCTTCCCCACTCCTCCCCCTACGGTCCCCTTCTCCACTCCTCCCCCTACGGTCCCCTTCCCCACTCCTCCCCCTACGGTCCCCTTCCCCACTCCTCCCCCTACGGTCCCCTTCCCTACTCCTCCCCCTACGGTCCCCTTCCCCACTCCTCCCCCTACGGTCCCCTTCCCCACTCCTCCCCCTACGGTCCCCTTCCCCACTCCTCCCCCTACGGTCCCCTTCCCCACTCCTCCCCCTACGGTCCCCTTCCCCACTCCTCCCCCTACGGTCCCCTTCCCCACTCCTCCCCCTACGGTCCCCTTCCCTACTCCTCCCCCTACGGTCCCCTTCCCCACTCCTCCCCCTACGGTCCCCTTCCCCACTCCTCCCCCTACGGTCCCCTTCCCCACTCCTCCCCCTACGGTCCCCTTCCCCACTCCTCCCCCTACGGTCCCCTTCCCCACTCCTCCCCCTACGGTCCCCTTCCCCACTCCTCCCCCTACGGTCCCCTTCCCCACTCCTCCCCCTACGGTCCCCTTCCCCACTCCTCCCCCTACGGTCCCCTTCCCCACTCCTCCCCCTACGGTCCCCTTCCCCACTCCTCCCCCTACGGTCCCCTTCCCCACCCTCCCCCTACGGTCCCCTTCCCCACCCCTCCACCTCCCGTCCTTTTCCCCACGCATCTCCTGCTGCCATGCCCGTTTCATCCCAGTGGACGCGTGCAGCACAGCACACAAGCGTCCACTCCATGCGCGTGCAGCACAGCACACAGGCATCCACCCCATGCCGCACACACACATGCACGCATCAGCACCTTCCTTCTCATGCCTCGTCGTTCTTAGTGCCCTTTTCTCACCTCCCGTCCCCTTCCCCACGCATCTCCTTCTGCCTTGCCCTTTTTGTCCCAGTGGGAGCGTGCAGCACACACACAGGCATGCATCCATCCATCCCATGCCTCCATCCATCCCATGCCTCCATCCATCCCATGCCTCCATCCATCCCATGCCTCATTCCCTGTGCCCCTTGCTCACCTCCAATTGCCTTCCCCACGCATCTCCTGTCCCCTTCCCTGGCTGCCCTTTTTTGTCCCAGTGGGCGCGTGTAGCACACAGGCATCCATCCATCCCATGCCATGCCTCACTCACAGGCACATGCAACTCAAAATTCTAAAAAAATCCCCATTCTTCTAAGGCACCTCAAAATACTCTCACCTCCCCCTCATTCCCCCTGCTCCCTCTATTCCCCATTCGCCATGCCCCATTCCCCAGTGGACGCGTGTGGCACGCAGGCTTCCAACCCGTGCATCACAGGCACACATGCACGAATCAGCCCCTTCCTTCCTATGCCTTGTTTGTTCTCTGTGCCCCTTTCTCACCGCCCGTTCCCTTCCCCACGCATCTCCTGTTCCCACCCTCTCTTTCCTCCCAGTGGACGCGTGTGGCACGCAGGCGTCCAACCCGTGCCTCACAGGCACATGCATCAACGACAACGCGGGCGGCTACTTTTGTCTTTGCCCGCCGGGATATGCGAAGGGCAGCCTCACGCTTGGATGGGAGACCTGCACACCTTGTGAGTGGCGTTGCCGCCTGGCTGTGGTGGGCTTGCATTGCGTGTTGGCATGCTTGCATTGCTTGTTGGCATGCTTGCATTGCCTGTTGGCATGCTTGCATTGCCTGTTGGCATGCTTGCATTGCCTGTTGGCATGCTTGCATTGCCTGTTGGCATGCTTGCATTGCCTGTTGGCATGCTTGCATTGCCTGTTGGCATGCTTGCATTGCCTGTTGGCATGCTTGCATTGCCTGTTGGCATGCTTGCATTGCCTGTTGGCATGCTTGCATTGCCTGTTGGCATGCTTGCATTGCCTGTTGGCATGCTTGCATTGCCTGTTGGCATGCTTGCATTGCCTGTTGGCATGCTTGCATTGCCTGTTGGCATGCTTGCATTGCTGTGAATCTGATCTGCCCGCTCGTCTTCCCCTTTTCTCCAACTCCCAGTCCCCCACCCGTTAACCCCCTCTCGCCTTTCCCCTTCCCCCATCTCCAGCCACCGACCCCCCCACAACGCTCACCTTCCCAGTGGACGTGGACTGCCCGCGCGTCTACCAGCTCTTCCTTTCGCCAACTCCTTACTCCCACTCCCCACCCCCCTATCACCTTTCCCCATCCGCCATCTCCAGCCACCACCCCCCCCACCACGCTCACCTTCCCAGTGGTTGTGGACTGCCCACTCGTCTACCAGCTCTTCTGTTCTTCAACTCCTTACTCCTCCCACTCCCCACTCCCTTCTCACCTTTTCCTTTCCCCTTCCCCCATCTCCAGCCACCGACCCCCCCACAACGCTCACCTTCCCAGTGGACGTGGACTGCCCGCGCGTCTACCAGCTCTACGGCCTCTCAGAGGACGATTTTCTCGCTCAGAACTCTGCATTGGTGAGCCTCTGAAATTCCTCTTAGAGGAGGAATGACTTTCTCTCTTTTGACGCGCCTCAGCCCCTTTGAGGCTACCAGCTCTACCGAACCACATGCCTATGTGGATTGGGCAACTTTGTAAGAACTTGAGCTTGAACTGATACAGTAGGTAATGAGCTCAAGGCTCTTAAGTGCATGGAGAATGAGCAAGGAATGGATGGGGAGCGAGCGGATCGGGGGAAATCCCAATGAGATCAGGTGAAATCTCCAATGGGTGGGTAAGAGATTCTGCTTGATCACAATTTTGTAAGGTTGGGATGTGGGTGTACACCCAACCCACGCAAACTGCAAACTACACTAAACTACCCACCCCCCTTCCTCCCTCCCTCCCTCCCCTCTCCCTCCCTCCCTCCCCTTTCCCTCCAACTTCACCTTCTCCCAACGCCACCCACCGTTCTCCCCTTCCCCCCTCGTCACTCCCCCCCACCCCCCAGTCCTCTCCATGCGCCACCATCCCAGCCAACACCGAAATCAACGTGGCGCCCACATCCACCTGCATCAACTGCAGCCGCTTCTACTCCTGGACACACAACGACTCCTGCTGCTGCTCGTGTGTGCCGATCCGAGGCGCCTCGCATGCAACTGTGCCCCTCATGTGCTCCCTCCCTCCCTCCCCCCTCCTATCCCTTCCTCCCTCCCCAACTCCCAATTCCCCCCACCAGTCCTCTCCATGCGTCACCATCCCAGCCAACACCGAAATCAACGTGGCGCCCACATCCACCTGCATCAACTGCAGCCTCTTCTACTCCTGGACCAGCGACGACTCGTGCTCGGCTGTAGCGGGGCTCTTTGGGATCGACGAGACCGAGTTGACTCGCTTGAATCCGGGTCTAGACTGCTCAGGCAGTGGCTCATGCCAGGCTCCCTCTCCTGGCCAGCAGGTGGGTTCCCCTCGTCGTCTTTCCCCCTCATCTTTGCATGCAACAGGGCAAGGGGCGATGTCTGAGTCCATTCTCTTTAGTCGAAGTTCAGTTTTGGGCGCCTCATAACTAGACAGCGCAAGGGCCGGTTTCTCAGTCCATTTTCTCTAGTCCAATGAAAAGAGCGCGAGGTCTGGCCTGCGCGAGGTCTGGCCTGCGCGAGGTCTGGGCTTCCACATGTGCGTGTTGTGGTGGTGGGTAGGGTACCACTACTCGTCGTGCACTCTCTGCCTCCTTCTGAGTCGACTCAAAAGTCACCTCAATTCTCTAGTCGAATGAAAAGAGCACAAGGTCTGGCCTTCCACATGTGCGTGCGTGTTGTGGTGGGTAGGGCACCACTCACTCATGCTGGCATCCTCTGCCTGCCTCCTTCTGAGTCGACTCAAGAGTCACCTTAGTTTTCTGGTTGACTCAAACGAGCGCAAGGGTTGGCTGGCCTTCCGCATGTGTGTGTTATGGGTAGGTACTGCTCGTGCTCGTGCTCGTGCTTGTGCTCGTGCTCGTGCTTGTGCTTGTGCTCGTGCTCGTGCTCGTGCTTGTGCTTGTGCTCGTGCTTGTGCTTGTGCTCGTGCTCGTGCTCGTGCTCGTGCTCGTGCTTGTGCTTGTGCTCGTGCTCGTGCTCGTGCTCGTGCTTGTGCTCGTGCTCGTGCTTGTGCTCGTGCTCGTGCTCGTGCTCGTGCTCGTGCTCGTGCTCGTGCTCGTGCTCGTGCTTGTGCTCGTGCTCGTGCTCGTGCTCGTGCTTGTGCTCGTGCTCGTGCTGGTGCTCGTGCTTGTGCTTGTGCTTGTGCTCGTGCTCGTGCTCGTGCTTGTGCTCGTGCTCGTGCTCGTGCTCGTGCTTGTGCTCGTGCTCGTGCTCGTGCTCGTGCTTGTGCTCGTGCTCGTGCTCGTGCTCGTGCTCGTGCTTGTGCTCGTGCTTGTGCTCGTGCTCGTGCTCGTGCTTGTGCTCGTGCTTGTGCTCGTGCTTGTGCTCGTGCTCGTGCTCGTGCTTGTGCTCGTGCTCGTGCTTGTGCTTGTGCTCGTGCTTGTGCTCGTGCTCGTGCTTGTGCTCGTGCTTGTGCTCGTGCTCGTGCTTGTGCTCGTGCTCGTGCTTGTGCTTGTGCTCGTGCTTGTGCTCGTGCTCGTGCTTGTGCTTGTGCTCGTGCTTGTGCTTGTGCTCGTGCTTGTGCTTGTGCTCGTGCTTGTGCTCGTGCTCGTGCTTGTGCTCGTGCTCGTGCTTGTGCTTGTGCTCGTGCTTGTGCTCGTGCTCGTGCTTGTGCTTGTGCTCGTGCTTGTGCTTGTGCTCGTGCTTGTGCTCGTGCTCGTGCTCGTGCTCGTGCTCGTGCTCGTGCTCGTGCTCGTGCTCGTGCTCGTGCGGGCACTTTCTACCTCCTTCTCCTCTTCAATTCCTTCTCAATCCCCTTTCATAATCCCCTTCACTCACAGGTGTGTGTGCGAGAGGGAGAGGGCATGGCATACCCCATGTGCATGTGGTGGGAGGGCGTGAAGCCTGGGGACACGTCGCCACCCTCATGGCGCGCTACAACCTGCCCGCCCTCGCCTCCTTCCGGCTCAACTTTTGAGATGTCTCAAAACTGCTCTTACGCAATGCTACAGCCTGTCCCTACTCACCTTCCCGTGGCCTTCCCTTTCTCCACCCCCCCTGTCCCATCCTCTCCCCCTTTCCTCCATTCCATCCCGCAGGTCTGTGTGCGAGAGGGAGAGGGCATGGCCTACCCCATGTGCATGTGGTGGGAGGGCGTGAAGCCTGGGGACACGTGCGCCACCCTCATGGCGCGCTACAACCTGCCCGCCCTCGCATTCTCCTGGGGCATATTCCACCCATGTCAACCTCTCCTGTCATGTCATGCCTTCCCCTTACACCCCATGTCCCTTCCATCCCACAGGTCTGTGTGAAAGAGGGAGCGGGAATGGCATACCCCATGTGCATGTGGTGGGAGGGTGTGAAGCCAGGGGACACGTGTGCGGTTCTCATGGCGCGCTACAACCTGCCCGCCCTCGCCTTCTTCTGGATGAAACCGGGCCTGGCGTGTGACAACCTCTTCCCCAATGGCATGAACATCACCGGCGCGCAGGTGAGACCGTGAGACGACACCCGCACTGCAGCCAGCCAGGGGACACGTGTGCTGCCATGCGTCTGAATGAACCGGGGCCTGGCGTGTGACTTGGATTTTGAGTCGACTCAAAGGTCTCATGGCGCTCTACAGCCTCGCTGCACCTGCGTTCTTCTGGATGAACCCGGGCCTGGCGTGTGACAACCTCTTCCCCAACGGCATGAACATCACCGGCGCGCAGGTGAGACGACACCTGGCCCGGGGGAGGTGTTTACTGGGGTTTGCGTGCAGGTAGCAACTGGTGGTAGGTAGTATTGAGCCGCTCATGGCGCGCTACAACCTCCCCGCCCAGGCCTTCTTCTGGATGAATCCGGGCCTCGCATGTGACAACCTCTTTCTCAACGGCATGGGCACCACAGGAGTGCAGGTGATATTGGGGGGAGGTGGCTTCTGAGACGCGCACGCACGTGACATGCTGGAAGGTGGTTAGCTGCTGCGGGGCAGGTGATACTGGGGGGAGGTGTCTACCTGCGGGCAGTTCCTGCCGTTGGATTCGGTGCCTTTGGGTTATTGTGCATCCCGTCCCTTGCCTAGTCTTCCTCTCCTCAACCCTGTCACCGCACCCCATCTCACCGAACCTCCTCTCACCGCACTTCACCGCACGGCACCCCAATCCACCCCTCTGCCCCCCAGGTGTGCCTCTTTGCGTACATCTACAACAGCACCACCGGCGCCAGCTATCGATCCTACTCGCTCACCCAGCCACAGCCCACTCAACCGCAGCCCACCACTCTTTCCGTCCCATCAACACCCCATTCACTGGGAAAGCTCACCACACACCAGAGCTCCACCACACAACGCCCCTCACCACACCACAGCACCTCCTTGCATCGCCCCTCACCACACCAAAACCTCCTCCATCAGCCCCCCTGGAACCACGTCTGGTCAGCAAACCGCCCCACAGGCAAACCGCCTTTCAAGCTCCCCCCGTGGCAGCAACCTTTGTGGCAGCAGCGGCGGGCGAAGCTGGTTAAAGCCGGAGTGGTTCGGATGGCCCCGGCTGCGGTGTCAAAGCGGCGGTGCCTGGCGTTCTACTCGGTGACGCGGGGGGACTTCTGTGCGCGCATCATATCGCTCAAGTTCCAGAACAATGCGCGGAAGCTGGCGGAGCTTAATAATGGGTATGTGTGTAACGATGACAGGCTGTATGTGGGGCTGAGCCTGTGCACGCGGCGGTAGCGGACAGGCTTTCTTGGCTTGTAAAGAGTAGTTGGGGAAGAAGGGGAAGCTGGCGGAGCTGAACAATGGGTATGTGTGCAACGATGACCGCCTTTACGTTGGGCTGAGCCTGTACACACGAAGGTAGAAGTGCTGTTGAGGCGCCTCAAAAGGGGCTCTGCATTGGAAGATGGCGGAGCTGAATAGTGGGTATGTGTGTAACGATGACCGCCTTTACGTTGGGCTGAGCCTGTACACACGAAGGTAGAAGTGCTGTTGAGGCGCCTCAAAAGGGGCTCTGCATTGGAAGATGGCGGAGCTGAATAGTGGGTATGTGTGTAACGATGACCGCCTTTACGTTGGGCTGAGCCTGTGCACGCGCCGATAACAGACAGGCTCAGTTGGTCCTGGGAAGAAAGGGCCAGATGGAGGAGCAGGGCCAGAGGGAGGAGCTGAATAATGGGTATGTATGTATGTGTGCAACGACGGCCGGCCAGCCGGCTCTACACAGGGCCGATTATCAGCTTTGCTTGCACCCGCCTGTAACAGAGCTCTGGCTTAGTTGGCTGGTAGAGAGCAGAGAGCTCTGGGGAAGAAACGCCAGATGGTGGGTTTGATTTGAACAACGGGTCCTCCTACCTACACATACGGTTACGGCTCGGCACGCGCTCGTAGGAAGTGACTTTTGAGCCGCCTCAAGAGTCGTCTCATGTCTCCCATGTCTGATTTTCACGCACCGCTGGCTGCCCTTCTGTTGTGAGCCAAGAAGACCGTACCGGTATGTGTGCTACAAACAATGCCCTGCTTTGCATAAGACGACTTTTGAGGCGCCTCAAATCTCCGGACCTTCACATAAGGCTGAAGAGCAGATGAACGGGAATGATAATGAGGGGGCAGAGGAACGAGAATGAGACTGAGGGGGCTGAACTGAAGTGAGGTTTGTCGGTGAGGTTTGAAGCAGAGGGTACCGCAGATGAGAGCCTTGATGAGTGAAACCCCCCCGCTCTGCACTGCACCTGTCGATGAGACATTATTTGTTTGTCAGAAAGTGGACTGAACTGAATGACTAACACAACAGCATACAGAGTCCATATCCACAAAGTTGTCCTCACTATAGAGTACCGCAGACTAAGCAACTTAGCCTGCAAGGTAACAAATATAGTCTGACATTGTTTGCTCAGTCTGTGTGGATGACAGGATTGATTTTTTTGCATGTTGCAGTAAGTAAGGTATGTATCAATCAATCCATCCATTCTAGACTGGCAAGATTGATTGTTATATGACAATCATACACTCACACACGAAATGCAAAGCCACGATGAAAGCCACTGAACATCGAGCTCCTCACACCAACCAGCTATATGCTAAGCTACAAACTTCTGCGCAACATGACACACACAACACCTAAAACACCTGTAAAAACTTACTGCACAGCACACCATAAATACGGTACTATAGCACGCACACAGGAGAGGCTCGAAACCTCCAACTAACCTAAGAACTTCAACAAAAAGGCTTTTCTCCAACAAAACCCTAGTTGGATTGGATTGGATTGCATCAGGTGGTGCCAGAGAGCTTGGATTGGATCATCTCATCTCATTGCACCAGTCACCTCTCACGAACGCGGAGCACACGGGAGCTCTAGTGACACCTGGACTGGAAGTAGCAGTTGCTGGGCTGCCGCAGGTAGTGCAATGCACGCCCCCGTGCATCTGGGAGGTCTTTTGTATCGCCTCAAAATGCATCTCACCACACCCGCCACCACCACTCACGAACGGGGAGCGCAAGGGAGCTCTAGCGACACCTGGAAGTAGCACTTATTGGGCTGCCGCAGGTAGTGCACGTCGCCATGCATCTGGCGCAGCAGCGAGCGGTACGAGACGAGTGCATGCGCCTGGTACGACGCCTCAGGTGAATCCTCAGGGCACGAGGCGAGACCGAACATGTGCTGGATTATGGCGTCGTCGATTCCCGGCCCTGATTGGATGATCCTGTGGGGGCAGGATCACCAGAGGAAAGGGAGGGGGTAGCAGAGGTGGAATAGAGAGGTGAGAGGTGGAATAGAGAGGTGAGAGGTGGAATAGAGAGGTGAGAGGTGGAATAGAGAGGTGAGAGGTGGAATAGAGAGGTGAGGGGTGGAATAGAGAGGTGAGGGGTGGAATAGAGAGGTGAGGGGTGGAATAGATAGGTGGGGCAGGAAGGATGATGCTTTACACATCAGCTTGTGAGTTGCTGAACGTGCGATGACGAAAAGGAAAGGAAGATTGTGATTGTCATTCCTCAGAGAACGGAAAGGTGGAGGAGGGGAAATGGATGGTGGAATTTGGATGGGAAAGGTGGGAAGAAGGGAGGGAGGTGGGTGCAATCGTCATCGAGAAACGGTTCTCCTCCTTCCCCACGCAATACATTCCTCATCCCCTGGTTCCCAGTGGTAAGTCTCAGCTACCATGAGGCGGGGAAAGGGGCGAGGCACAGCGCACGCTACCACTCACCGCAGCTCCATCTCCATAGCCAGCATGCGGCTGGGGCTGGGCGCCAGCTGCACGACCAGACCCCAGACTATCCATTTTATCGTGCCTTGCCTCACCAATCCCTCTCACCGTTAACCCTCGCCCCCACCACTCACCGCAGCTCGATCTTGACAGCCTGCATGCGGCTTCTGAGGCAGATTGCAAAGTGCTTTTTGAGGTGATTGTTCAATCTCCAGTAGGCGCCTCAAGAACACTCACCGCAGTTCAATCTCCACAGCCAGCATGCGGCTGGGGCTGGGCGCCAGCTGCACTGCCAAAATCACCAGACCCCCCAGCCCGTTCCACCACTCCCCCCCGGCCCCCCACCCCCCACAAATCGCCTCACCACCACTCACCGCAGCTCAATCTCGACAGCCAGCATGCGGCTGGGGCTGGCTGGGCGCCGGCTGCACCACTACTCCTTCTCACCCCTCTCCCAACCCCACCACTCACCGCAGCTCAATCTCGACAGCCAGCATGCGGCTGGGGCTGGCTGGGCGCCGGCTGCACCACTACTCCTTCTCACCCCTCTCCCAACCCCACCACTCACCGCAGCTCAATCTCGACAGCCAGCATGCGGCTGGGGCTGGGGACCAGTTGTGCCACCAAACCCCTAATTTGCCCCTTAATTTCCTCCTCCCCCTCACCACTCCCCCTCACCACTCCTCCTCGGCCCCACCACTCACCGCAGCTCGATCTCCACAGCCAGCATGCGGCTGGGGCTGGGCGCCAGCTGCAGCACCCACCAGACCCCGAATCTCTGCATCACACATTATCCATCTCCTCGTGCATCACCCACCCCTCCTCACCCTCGACCCATCACTCCCAACCACTCATCCCACACCCCTCACCGCACACCACCACTCACCGCAGCTCGATCTCCACAGCCAGCATGCGGCTTGGGCTGGGCGCCAGCTGCAGACGAACGGTGCCGCCCGACGGGGTGTACTTGACGGCCGCTACAGTGATGCCGCCCAGCACCTGCTGCAGCAGCAGCTGGTTTCCCACGAGGCGCGTGGACGCGACATCTGGCAGCGCGTCATAGGTCAGGTCGATGGAGCGGCGAATGGCGTGCTGCATGGCCTGGCAGACGGCTGTGTTGATGAGAGAGGCCATGGTGAAGGGCGCTGAGGGCGTGAATGGTAGCATGCTGAAGGGGAGGGGGAGAGGGGGTAGGTACAGAGGACAGGGACGGGTGGAGGTGGGGGGTGCGGATGCAGTACGTTGGGAAGAGGATGAGGGGGAAAGGGAATGAAGGCGAATGGCATGCTGCATGGCCTGGCAGACGGCTGTGTTGATGAGTGATGCCATGGTGAAGGGCGCTGAGGGCGTGAATGGGAGCATGCTGAAGGGGAGGGGGAGAGGGGGTAGGTACAGAGGACAGGGACGGGTGGAGGTGGGGGGTGCGGATGCAGTACGTTGGGAAGAGGATGAGGGGGAAAGGGAATGAAGGCGAATGGCATGCTGCATGGCCTGGCAGACGGCTGTGTTGATGAGTGATGCCATGGTGAAGGGCGCTGAGGGCGTGAATGGCAGCATGCTGAAGGGGAGGAGGTGGAAAGAGGAAGAGGGAGGGGGACGTGGAGTGGAGATGGAAGAACGATGAACACTGATGGCGTGAATGGAAGCATGCTGAAGGGGGGGAGGTTCAAGGGGGAAGAGAGAGGGGGACGTGGAGTGGAGATGGAAGAACGATGAACACTGATGGCGTGAATGGAAGCATGCTGAAGGGGGGGAGGTTCAAGGGGGAAGAGAGAGGGGGACGTGGAGTGGAGATGGAAGAACGATGAACACTGATGGGGTGAATGGAAGCATGCTGAAGGGGGGGAGGTTCAAGGGGGAAGAGAGAGGGGGACGTGGAGTGGAGATGGAAGAACGATGAACACTGATGGGGTGAATGGAAGCATGCTGAAGGGGGGGAGGTTCAAGGGGGAAGAGAGAGGGGGACGTGGAGTGGAGATGGAAGAACGATGAACACTGATGGCGTGAATGGAAGCATGCTGAAGGGGGGGAGGTTCAAGGGGGAAGAGAGAGGGGGACGTGGAGTGGAGATGGAAGAACGATGAACACTGATGGGGTGAATGGAGGCATGCTGAAGGGGGGGAGGTTCAAGGGGGAAGAGAGAGGGGGACGTGGAGTGGAGATGGAAGAACGATGAACACTGATGGCGTGAATGGAGGCATGCTGAAGGGGGGGAGGTTCAAGGGGGAAGAGAGAGGGGGACGTGGAGTGGAGATGGAAGAACGATGAACACTGATGGCGTGAATGGAAGCATGCTGGGGTTGGGTTGGGGAATGGGGGGGAGGTGGGGGGGGGTTGGGGAAGGAGACAGGTTCTTTTGATTCTCTATTCTCTTTTCTTGCTGCATGCGCGCACCCTTGCAGTCGCATACCCGCACACGAGTCGACTCAAAAGTCACCTCGTTTTGAGTCGACTCAAAAGTCACCTTGCAGTCGCATACCCGCGCACTTCTCAGCTCACCTGCATACCCAGAACAACATCACTTCACCGCATAGCATACCTGGGGTGCGAGAATACAGCAGCATCACCCCCACCACCGCCCCCCTCCCCGCCACCCAACGGGTCCACCTGAGTGTGCAGCAGCCGCATCAGCTGCGCGTCGCACCGCGCCATCGCCTCCATAAACTGCCAAACCTTGCCGCCCGGGGCGGCGGCAGACGGGGCGGCGTGAGCGGAGGGCGAGGGCGGGGAGGCGTCGAGGAGGGAACGGTGCAGCAGGGAGCGTGCATGCACCATGCCGTGCACTGCCCCTGCCATGGCCTGCCGCACGTACGCCAGCTGCTTGGAGTGACGCTCGATCAGCTGAAGGTGGTGAGTGAGGAAATGGGGGGGATGGTGTGTGGGGGGGAAGGGATGGTGGTGTGTGACGGGAGCAAGGGAAGGAAACGTGGAAACCAAACAGTGCGTCAAAAGGGAGTCAGAAAGGGAGCGGTGCAGCAGGGAGCGTGCATGCACCATGCCATGCACTGCCCCTGCCATGGCCTGCCGGACGTAAGCCAGCTGCTTGGAATGCCGCTCTATGAGCTGGTGGATGGTGCGTGAGGGGAAAGGAGATGGGGGGGGGTGTGGGAGGGGGATGGTGGTGTGTGAATGGAGCAAGGGAAGTATACGGGAAATCAGAAGTTAGGTCAGACAGGGATGAGCAGGGATCGCTGCAGCAGGGAGCATGCATGCACCATGCCATGCACTGCCCCTGCCATGGCCTGCCGCACATACGCCAGCTGCTTGGAATGACGCTCTATCAACTGAGGGTGGTGCATGGGGGGAGAGGGGGGGAAGGTTGGTGATGTGGGTTGGAGAAGGGCTGGTGGGGTGTGGGAGGAAAGAATTGGTGGTGCGTGCGTGGAATCATGGGAACAATGGATATAGGTAGAAACGGAAGACAGGCAGAAGGGGAGCAGAGGCTCAGCGCTTGCCACCCACATAAATGCAAAGACTCAATCTGAGTCGCTTTTGAGAACTCTCAAGAGTGACTCAGCGCCTGCATGCCACACACATATATGCAAAGAATCCCCTCCACTCAGGCCCCACTCTCCCCACGAACCCCCCAACTCCTCCCCCTCTCCCCCGCTTGTTCCTTCCGCTCAAGCCGTCTGCTGCTGTTCCTCTCACCCCCTCTGCCTTGTGCTGCACGGCTAGACTCTGTATGGGTTTTGCCACATGCACACATGCACACATGCATGCATGCACGCATGCACGGATGCACACATGCACACATGCACGCATGCACACATGCACGCATGCACGCATGCACACATGCACACATGCACACATGGACACATGCACACATGCACACATGGACATGCACACATGCACACATGGACATGCACACATCCACACATGCACACATGGACACATGCACACATGCACACATGCACACATGCACACATGGACATGCACACATGCACACATGGACATGCACACATCCACACATGCACACATGGACACATGCACACATGCACACATGGACACATGGACACATGCACACATGGACACATGCACACATGGACACATGGACACATGCACACATGGACACATGGACACATGGACACATGCACACATGGACACATGCACACATCCACACATGCACACATGCACACATGCACACATGGACACATGGACACATGCACACATGGACACGTGCACACATGGACACATGGACACATGCACACATGGACACATGCACACATGGACACATGCACACATGGACACATGGACACATGCACACATGGACACATGCACACATGCACACATGCACACATGGACACATGGACGCATGCACACATGCACACATGGACATGCACACATGCACACATGGACACATGCACACATGCACACATGCACACATGCACACATGCACACATGGACACACACCACACCACCTCCTTCCTCACAGTCACCACCCCTCTTCACCCCCCGCTTCCCCCGACCCCCATTTTAGTTCCCCTTCCAGTTGTTATTCCACTCGCCCCCTCTGCCTTTTGCTGCACGGCCAGAGCCTGCATGAGCTCAGGGCTTGCCACGTGCACACACGGAAACGCTCCCCTCAACTCATTCCAGCTTCCCCCATTCATACCTATCCCTCCCCTCTACCTGTTATTTCACTCACCCCCTCTGCCTTGTGCTGCACGGCCAGGGCCTGCATGAGCTCAGGGCTTGCCACGTGGAGGAATCCAAACGCCCCTGCCGCCCGCCCATCGCCGCCCTGCCGCTGCTGCACCGTCAACAACACCTCCACCATGCGACCCTGGCAGGGGGTGGGGTGGGAGGGGGGGGAGCAGGGGGAGGGGTGGGAGGGGGAGAGCAGGGGGAGGGGTGGGGAGGGGAGAGAAGGGGGAGGCATGAGGTGGCATGAGGTGGCATGAAATGGCATGAGGTGGCATGAAATGGCATGAGGTGGCATGAAATGGCATGAGGTGGCATGAGATGGCATGAGATGGCATGAGATGGCATGAGATGGCATGAGATGGCATGAGATGGCATGAGATGGCATGAAATGGCATGAGATGGCATGAGATGGCATGAGATGACATGACATGACATGAATGTCACCTCCCTACCTTGGCGTTGCGGAAGGCGAAGTGCGTCTTCTCCTCCCCACCCGCGTCCTGCCCCGCCATGGTGAGTAGTGGGTGGATGCATCTGGTTGGGAAGGCCCCACGCATTTCCCCTCCCCCTCACCTTGGCGTTGCGGAAGGCAAAGTGCGTCTTCTCCTCCCCCCCACCCGCGTCCTGCCCCGCCATGGCCCGCGACAGCATGATGAGCAGCCGCGTGAGCGAATCGTCGTCCGCCAGCTGGCACATGCGGCCGAAGATGATGCCTGGGAGCATGCAGCCCAGCACCTGGGTGGATGGGATGGGAGAGGGTGGATGGGGGAGGGTGAGCGGGAGAGGGTGGATGGGGAAAGAGGGGGGAGGACGGCCATGCGACAAAAGATGATCCCTGGAAGCATGCAGCCCAGCACCTGGGCGGTGTTGGCGGGTGGATATTAGAGGGTGGGTGGGAAGGAAGAAGTGAATGGGGAGGAAGGATGGATGCAAAGCTGGAGAGGGGAGAACAGCGCATGCAGCCAAAGATGACGCTGGGAGCACGCAAAACCCAGCACCGGGGTGGACGGAGGAGGGTGGGTGGGAGGGGACAAGTGGATTGATGGTGGAAGGTGGAGCAGGCAAAGGCAAAGGGAAGAGAAGGAAGCAATAGGTGTGCTGGGGGGGGTACAATACAACAAGACTGGGAAGGGGGAGAGAGGACTCACCTGGGAGCGTTTGAGGCCGGTGATGCTCTCCATAGCTGGGTTCCACTCGGTGCAGAAGCCAGATGCTGGTGTTGGGATGGGTTGAAAGGGGTATGAGTGGTAGAGGGATGGGCGGGGCATGGGCGACAGAGGGTGGGATCAAAACGCTTGAATTGGGAAACGGCGGGAAGAGGAGGGCTGGTGATGCTCTCCATGGCTGGGTTCCACTCGGTGCAGATTCCAGATGCTGGGGTTGGGATGGGTTGAGAAGGGCATGGGTGGCAACGGGGTGGGTAGGCAGTGGCAGGAAACTGGATGGAGGGGCAGCGAGCTATTATACTTTAGAGATGAACGTACAGAGACGGGATATGAGAGGGGCGAAAGGGAAAGGATAGGTGTCGTGGTATGCTGGGACAGAAAGAGGGAGAAGAGAAGGTAGAGTAAGAAAAGAGGATAGGTGTCCGATGAGCAAAGCAAGCAAGACCATGACTCACTGCAGGCGGCAAAGATGGGCGGCAAAGATGGGCGGCAAAGATGGGCGGCAAAGATGGGCAGCAAACTGACCCACCGGAGGGTGCAACAAGGGCAAGGGAACGATGGGCAGCAGGAATGGGCGGCGAAGTGACTCACCGTTGGTGGCAAAGATGGGCGGCATGAGGGAGTTGTGGGTGTTGATGATGGTGGTGAAGTCGCCCTGGATTCGCACGAATCGCGTTCTGACAGCTGTCTCCTCGGTCACGTCCTGCCCCACGAAGCACACCCCCACGATGCTCTTCTCCGAGTCCCGGCTCACAAACGTGTTCACCTGCAGAGGAGTAGAGAGGGAGTAGGATGGGATATGGTGGGGTAGAATGGGTAGGGTGGGGTGGCGTGGGGTTGGGTGGGGTGGGGTGGGGTGAGGTACAATGGGGTGCCGTGGGCTGGTGGTTTGAAGAGGCAGCACATCCTGCAAGGTGGATGACGCGGGGAGTGAAGTTTATCATAACAAAGCCGCATGAATTGGAACGACTCATCATCATAAGTTTATCTAGGCGACTTATAAAAACGTCTCAGTGCACTCACGTGCAGGATGGCGTAGGGCGTGGGAGGCCCCTTGCCCTGGGGAACTGTTTTATCGAAACAGTTGCTGCCAGCCACTCAAAGACATGCCACTCCATTCCATTGGACTCACGTGCAGGATGGCGTAGGGCGTGGGAGGCCCCTTGCCCTGGGGAACCGACCCCCACCGCTTCAGCTTCAGCTCCAGCTGCTGCTGCTCCTCGCCTGCACGTGCATGTGCATGTGGATACGCATATGAATTTGCATGTGCACGTGCATGTGCATGTGGATGCGCATATGAATGTGCATGTGCATGCATGTGGATGCGCATATTGATGAGTGAGATACTAAAGGAAGGAGGGGAGGGGAAGGGGTGGGAGTGGGTCAGATCAGAGAATGTAGGAGGATTGCTAGAGAAGGGGTCAGAGGGGAAGGTTGGGGGCGGGGTAACCAGCTGACCAATCATGTTCTGATTTGCTGCTCTCACTCACCTGCCAGAGCGAGCTCAAACGCGGTCCTCGTCTTGTCCACGCACGAGGGGTCGAGACACGTGTCGAGCAGCGATTGGCCGATGGCGTCCGAGAAGGAGAGCCCTGTGATGGCCGCCACCTTGCCGTTCCACCCCGTGATGTTGCCCTCCAGATCAACGGCCAGGATCGGCGCGGACGCCGTCTCGATCAGACGGACCAGCTCGTCTGCTGCCACTGCCAGCTCGCTGTTGTTCTGGGAAAGGGATAGCGGTGGAGAGGGGTGGAAAAGGGTGGAGTGGGGTGGAAAGGGGTGAAAAGGGGTGGAAAGGGGTGGAAAGGGGTGAAAAGGGGTGGAAAGGGGTGGAAAGGGGTGAAGAGGGGTGAAACCGGGGTGATTGCTGCCACTGCCAACCCATTGTCGTCCCCTGCTCCAAAACGGCGTCACTTGCTCTCCAAGTTCACCTGTCCTCCCACCTCATCCGCCCTACCAGCTCAATCAACCCCCTCGCCCCCATGTGCTCACCTGCTTCAACAACCACCACACTCCCAGCTGCCAGCGCTCACCTGTTTGCCCATGGAAATCAGCCGTCCCATGCTCTCCTTGCGCCGAACGGACTTGCACAATAAGTCTTGCAGGCTGTGAACGGCATCCACCTCCACGTCCGCCCACGGCAGCGCCGTGTGCCGCACCACCTCCAGGAACGCCTTGAACGACGCCCGCGGGTGGCGCTTCTTTGCATCGTCCACGTCGCGCGAGTCGTGCCGCGCGCCGCTCCACTTGATCGACTTCTCCACGTGCGACCGGAACCAGAACAGGTAGTCCCCCGTCACGCCGCTCACACTGCTGAAACTCCCGCTCGCACCGCCCCACCCGCCGCCGCCGCCGCTGGTGGTGCTGCCGGATGGGGACGGGGGGACGGGCGACGCTGCCTCCCTCCCCTGCTGCTGCCGCTCCTGCCGCTCCTGCTGCTGCTGCTGCTCGTCAGCCGGAGAGAAGCACACGACGACCATCCCGCACACATCCACCCCGAGGCTCTCCGCGTGCGGGAACCCAGCGGCCTTCAAGCTATCCGTGCTCAGCCCACTGGACCCGCAGTGCTCGCGCTGCACCCACCGCACGAGCTCCCCGATCATCTCCTCTGAAGGGCAGACTCCGAGGCGGGAGAGCTCGCCGCGGAAGAGCACTGCGGCGCCGTCGCAGGGGAGGAGGTCCATGATGTTGGGCGCGGAGGACACGAGCGCGCGGATGGGGTTGTCCGTGAGTAATGTGTCGCAGAGCAGGGACTGGATCTGCAGGATCTGCTTTTCATGGAGTTGGGCGGCTATCTCTAGCTCCACTGACAGCTGGAGGCCGAATGCCTGGAAGGAGAGAGGAAAGGGAAGGGAAGTGGGGGAGGAGGGGAGGAGGGTTGGGAGGGGGAGGAGAGGTGGGAACATATGAGGCCCCTTGGAAAGGCATCTCCTCCACCAGCGCAGGGGAGGAGGTCCATGATGTTGGGCGCGGAGGAGACGAGCGCTCGGATGGGGTTGTCTGTCAGTAGAGTGTCGCACAGGAGCGACTGGATCTGGAGGATTTGGTTTTTCATGCAGTTGGGCGGCGATTTCGAGCTCCACTGAGAGTTGGAGGCCGAATGCCTGGAAGAAGGGGGGGAGGAGGGAGGTGGGAGGGAGGAATTGGGAGGAGAGAGTTGAGAGGGGGAGGCAGGGATGGTGGGGAACAATTGAGGTGCCTTAGAAGCCATCTCCTCCACCGTCGCAGGGGAGGAGGTCCATGATGTTGGGCGCGGAGGAGACGAGCGCTCGGATGGGGTTGTCCGTGAGCAGCGTGTCGCACAGGAGCGACTGGATCTGGAGAATCTGCCTCTCGTGGAGTTGGGCGGCGATTTCCAGCTCCACTGACAGCTGGAGGCCGAATGCCTGGAAGGGGGAGGGGGTTGGGAGGGGGGCATTTGAGGCGCCTTAGAGATATTTTCCTCCAGCAGGCATAGCACACCCCGACGCAGGAGGAGAGCTCGCCCCGGGTGAGGACAGCGGCGCCGTCGCAGGTAGGAGGAGCCCCTATCCCCCTGCCCTCCCACTCACCTGCATTAGAAAGTCGCAGGCGGAGCGGATGGGGAAGGGCACCACTCGGGGGGACATGTGATGACACACCACCAGCCCCCACAGCCGCGCTCCTCCTCCCCCTCCCCCTCCCCCTCCCCCTCCCCCTCCCCCCCCCCCCCCTCCCCCTCCCCCTCCGCCACCGCTTCCCCCTACCCCTGAGACGCTCCCCCCGTCGTCCGACCGCATGTCCCACGAGTCCCCCCCTCCTCCCCCCGCCTGACTCCCCCCGGACTGACTCCTTGCAAACTGCCCCCCGCCAGCCTGACTCCCCCCATGCGCGCCCGCCCCTCCGCGCTCCCCCTGCCCCTGCGCGTTCCCCCCGCGCGTGGGCACGATAATGGCCAGCACATAAGACGCTCTTATCCCCATGTTACACATGTACTGCGCGTGGCACGGGTCCACTGCTCGGAGGGTCGATCCCCCGAGCTTGAGCGGGTGCGGGGCGGAGAGCGGGTGCTGGCGGAGGGGCACGGAGGGGGACTGACAGTCCGCCACCATGCGGGAACGCATGTGGAAGAAGAGGAGGCGGGTTGCTTGGGGTACGTCTGTTGCTGGAAAGTGAGAGCCTAGGATCGGCTCCATAGCCCCCTCTTCCTCTTCCCCTTCCTCCCCTTCCTCCCCTTCCTCCTCCTCCGCATGCTCCCCCTGCTGCTCCCTCCCCTCCCTCTCCTCCCTCCCCTCGCCCCCCTCTCCCTCACCCACCCCGCCGCTCCCGCTCCTCCTATCCGTCCCCTCTCCCCCCCCTCCCTTCCGCCCCTTCCGCCCTTTCCGCATATCTTCCGCCACAACCTCCCCATGGCCGTCCTCGTGGAACTTATAAGCCACAACACGGTCATATCCAGTCAGCTCTCTCACCTCCTCCACCACCACCTGGCACAGCGCGCTGATATTCCCTGGCGCCACCTTCTGCAGCCGCTTCACGGCCGAGAGGGCTAGGCGGTGGGTTAAGGGCGCGCCTGCCCCGTCTACTGCCGGGTCCAGTGGTGTAATGGGTTCCAGATCGATGCTTATGATGTTGTCTCCTGGGCTGGTGGTGGTGGGAGCAGGTGCGGGGGTAAGGGCACTGGTGGTGGTGGCGGCAGGGGGTATGAGAGCAGGAGCGGCGACAGGCGAGGAAGGAGTGTTGGTACCCGGGAGTGTGATGATGCTGCTGCTGGTAACGCTGGTGGGGATGATGCTGCTGCTGGTAAGGCTCGTAGGGATGATGCTGCTGCTACCACTGGTGCTGCTGCTGGTGGTGCTGGCAGCAGCGGTGGTTTCGGCATCGTCAGCGGCGGCGGAGGTGCGGTGGAGCACGGCATAGAAGGGGCGGTTGGAGGTGCGGCACTGCAGCAGCACGGGGTTCATGGACGCGATGTCGTCTGCTGCCGCGGCTTTTTCCAATGCCTCCACACTCTCTGGTGTAAATAGGCTTCTGACATCCATTCCCAAGGCTGCAGGGAAGACAGGGGGGTTGGGGGTTGGGTGGAAAGCAGGGGGCGGGGCAAGGGGATGGAGACGAAGTAGTTGGAGTGGCTGCGGCACTGCAGCAGCACGGGGTTCATGGACGCTATGTCGTCTGCTGCCGCGGCTTTCTCTAATGCCTCCACGCTCTCCGGGGTGAACAGGCTCCTCACGTCCATTCCCAAGGCAGGGGGAGGGAGGGAGAGGAGGATGTAAGGCTGGGGAGGATGGAGGGATGGGAGGATTGGGGGATGGGAGGATCGGAAGAGAGAGAGGGGAGCAGGGATAGGGAGCGCGGTTGGAGCGGCGGCACTGCAGCAGCACGGGGTTTCATGGACGCTATTCCATGCCTTGCCATGTCATGTCATGCCATGCCATGGCATGGCATCTGGTGCTGCCACTGCTTTTCCCAAAGCCTATACGCGCTCTCCGGATCAAACCAGCAATCCGCATGTCATGCACTCTCCCAGGCTGTCAGGCAGAGAGCGCGGGAAGTAAGGAGGGTGAAAGAGGGTGGGGCGGGGGACTTGGGGGCATTACTCAAGCACGCACGCACTTCCCCTCCCTGCACCAACGTCCAAACCAAACCCATCAGCACCACTCCTTACACCAGTCAACCGACGCACTCACCAATTTTCGTCTGTGGAAGAGGAGCAACAGAATCTCGCGCCTCTTCCCCCTGCGCACCAGCAGGCGCCCCTTCCCCCAGCGCCCTAACTGCGGCCTCCTCCAGTCCGCGCCCCACGACAATGGCGCTGTCACTCACACTCGCTCCGCCTCCCCCTCCGCCTCCGCCTCCGTCTCTCTGCGCGCCTGCATCCCCCCACCCGCCACTGGCACTGCTTCCTCTCCCCGCGCCCGCTTCCCCGGCCCTCGCGTCACTGCTTGCCCTCCCCGCCGCGCCACCAGCAGCGGGCGCGGAGGGCGCGGGGGCGGCGGAGTCCACGGAGAGGCGGCGGGATCGCCTTGCGCCCTTGGCGCGGCCGCGGCTGTTGGAGCGGAAGATCGCCCAGCGAATGCGCTCCAGAAAGTTCAGCGCTGGAAGGATTTACGGAGGGGTTGGGAACGGTGGAGTAGGCAAGGTGGGATGGGATGGGGGGAGGTGGGAGAAAGGAGGGAGAGAAGAGGGGGTTGGGGGGTGGAGAGATACGAGGGAGTTGGGGGAGGGAGGACGGTGAGACGTGGCGCAGAGAGATAAATGTGAGTTGAAAGCGGTGAGGCCGGAAATTGCGGAACGGTGAGCAGAGCTCATTGATCATAAGGCCGCTGTCCTCATAAGGAGCAGCGGACGAAGGGGAATGCAGGGGGAAGGGGATGACGAGAGAGTGGGTGAAGTGGGGAGGAGGCGTTGGGAGCGGAAGGTGGGAAGGGACGGGAGGGACGAGAGGGAGGCAAAAGGGTAAGAGGAGAGGAGGAGGGGGGGCCGGAGGGGGAGGGAAGAACGGTGGGGGGCATTACGTTTGAACAGTGTGCTCCCTTCAGATGCCATTTTCACCAGCCGTCTTCTCTCGCCGCCTCCCTCTGCCGCTCCGCCCGCCGAAGCTCCCACTTCGCCCCTCCGGATCGCTTCCGCCGTCGGCGCCAACTCCGCCCCTTCTGGAATCGTCTGCGACCGCCCGATCATCGCCGATGCCGCAGATCCCGCTCCGCCCATGCCCGCATTTTCAGCGTCCGCGGCGCCGGCGCCCGCGCCGGCCGCCGCCGGCGCCGGTGGAGATTCATTCAGAATCATCTGGCCGGCGTTCTCGCTGAAAGCGACAAGATCGAAGCTTTTTCCGTCGCCGGGAATCGCGAGCAGGCAGCCGAAGTTCTGCACGAGGCCGGGCCGCTGGATGCGCTGCAGGTACGACGAGACCGCGGCGCGACTCGCGGAGGGGGGCGCGCCGCCCGCGGCGTGCACGAGGTCGACGGAGCGCCGCGCGCTGCGGAAGGTGACGCCGCCCGTGGAGGCCCAGAGGCGCGCGGCGGCGACAAACGACGAGTCCATGTCCGCCGCCGCCGCCGATTTCTGAGGCGCCTCGAAAATGTCCGCCGCCGCCATTTCTGCGACGAAGTGATGCGCGCCGCGAGTGGCTTGAGTGCGTGGATAGCAAAACTCGTTCCAGTTAGCCTTGATCGACGGATAGCAGTTGACGATGATTCCTTTGGTTCGTTGAACGTGGTCCACTAATGCACATAGCAAGGGGCTGATTACATGCGCAATGCTCGCTACTTTCCGTAGGGGCTCGCTACTTGCCGTATCTCTTCCTGGTTAGAGCGGATTTGTTTTCGGCGCTTACGAAGATGCCGCTTATTTACCCCTTGCTGTCACCTTTTCATACGGCGTGCAGCCAGACGCGTGAGGAATGCCTGCGACAGCAGAGGGATCAGTACGGCAGCTGCTGACTGGTTACGGGATGGGTGGAAGAGTAATTGCAGACAGAACTGATCAAAATGCACCTAGACGGAATGCGCGGGTTATCGTAGAACAATGGATAAAGAACAACAGAAGGTGGTAGGGAGAACCAGTTGCCATTTACCCCTGCTCGATACAATTGATGCCCAACCAGTGCACGCGAATTTGCCTTGCGCCGGATGGAAACGCTGCACCCGAGGTTGTTTCCCCAGCCTGTTGCTCCCACGTTATAAGCGCGTCGCGTGGTTATCATCCAATAGTAACGAACAGACCGAGGTCAAGCAGAAGAGACTGAAGTCAAATAAGGTAACAGATCTTGTTTATAAGCACCTGCGAATCCTTTTTAGCTAGCTGCGAATTGACGAAACTTATGCGAAATGCTCGTTACAGCTTATACGCCCCCTTCACAAGGCAACCGGGAGGGGCTCAAACAGGCATCAATTGTACAGTGCTAGCATTACAGAAACGTGGAGCACAAGATGAAAAATATCGCGATTCGGGGTGCCGATATGCTCAGGGTGTGGTTCGTACATTTACCGTTTCATGCTTCGTGGCTCAGAACGGTTCCACACGATGGATAGCGATTCTCGAGACTCCGCGTTTCACACCGTGACGCAACAAACTAGACCGCAGAGAACGCACGGAAAACGTACGATCTGGTGTTCGCCCTCAGCTGGCGCCATCGAGGAAAAGTTTCTAGGCAAGAGAGGGAGAGGGGAGAAGGGTGTCTGTGGGAGTCTTGTCCGGTCTGGGGACGAATCGGGAGGATGAAGGATGAATTGGAGACAACAGGATTCATGCTAAATGACAGGAGTTCTTCCTCTTGGCTTTGATCTTTGGACAAGACGACAACTTCTGCCTTCTGGATTACAGACACGCACCGTTCATTGGCAGGCCGACATTCTTGAGCTGTATTCGCGGGACGGTTGGATGACTGAACTGAAGACAGCGCCCACTGCACACTCCCCATTTACTATTGCTCGTTTCCCATTGCCCGAGAAAAACATAAAAAAACGTTAACGACAATCGCGGCGAATACAGTATCTAAACATGCTTTGTGATTTGCTGACATCGAGGAGCCAAAACCTGAAAGCCCGGCCTAAACAAAACAAACATAAAATACTCCACCAACAAAACCTGGTGACTTGGGGTTCCTACAAATGTAAAACACTCCGTTTGGAGGAGATTCTCGCATGCGAGGCGTTATTATATTCGCGAGTGAGCAGCTTGTCAAAGCTCGTGTGGTGGTGACATGGAGAAGGCCGAGTGCCTTCCCACGTCAGGAGTGTCAAGGTACACGTACCCTAGGTTCTCCGTAGCTGAGATGGCGAATCATGGATGGGCATCGAGATTGTGGGGAGATTTGCGGCACGAGCAACGCATTCGAGGAGCCTACTGTAATTCTCGATGTAATGCACAGTAAATTCGTGCCATTCTCCGGTGTACACGTGTCTGGAAGCATTTATAAGCATTTCATAAAACATGTGAATCTGGAGTGATACTAATTTCAAGCAGATAAAGTAGATGACATGATTTTTCAGAAGAAAATAGTCTTGTGGCTAAAATAGTTAACCGAAAATGCATATTTCAAAACGATTTCATAGCAAACTAAAAAGTCTTGTGGCATGATTTTTGTTACTATGACATGATTTTTCAGAAGAAAATAGTCTTGTGGCTAAAAAGATCACCGAAAATGCATATTTCAAAACGATTTCATATCCGAATTTGAGAATATATATTTTGTTACAAATCATTATTTTGGGAATCAAATTCAGACTCATATGGTACCTGTTTTTTTATAAATATGTTAGGAAAAATAGCAAACTAAAAAGTCAAAGTGCTTGATGGAATAAATATTCATAATAAAGTAGCTTACATCATGTTTCGTTGCATTTGGACAGCATCTCAGACGAGCAGCCTTTCAATCGGATCACTCCAATACGAAAGCTTCCAATTCCAAGAAGGCATTCTTTCGTGAGTGAAATGCATCTTTGACCAGGATTGTTGTGAAAACTGTAGCTGCATGAGCTGGTTGTTTTGTTTCAGAGTGCAGCTGCACTCGCCCATCCAGAATTACACATGATGCCCAACCAGTGCACGCGAATTTGCCCTGCACCGGATAGAAACGCTGCACCCGAGGTCTTTTCCCCAGCCTGTTGCACCCACGATACAAGCGCGTCGCGTGGTTATGGACCAATAGCAACGAACAGACCGAAGTCAAACTGAAGAGACCGAAGTCAAAATGTCAACGGATAAGGTTACAGATCCTTAATATAAGCACCTGCGAATCCTTTTTAGCTAGCTGCGAATTGACGAAACTTATGCGAAGTGCTCGATACAGCTTATACGCCCCCTTCACAAGGCAACCGGGAGGGGCTCAAACAGGCATCAATTGTACACGGGTCAGCATCAGATCTGTCAAAAGCTTTGCCAGGTGTTTTCTGTCAAGCACTCAAAACAAGCACCAGCGATGTTGTGAAGCCCCCATTGATTTGGGGTGGGTCTCGAAAGTATTTCTGAATGGGCTTGGAGAGGCTTGGAACCATAGAGTGGGGTCGTTCTAAGAGTTGGGATGGTTGCAAAAAACGCACTTTCGACACCCCTAATTCGACATAGAATGTTTAGTAAGAGGAACATTTGAATGAAATGAGAGGAAGATTGGTTGAGGTTGACTCCAGAGTTAGCCGCCCTGATCTCTCACCTGGACTTGTCGATATTCCTTCTGAGGCTGAACTGCTACGTATGCTCCAAAATACACCTGCGGCGATCAATACAAAGGTGCCTGAAACACAAAGGTGCAGCTCATTTTCTGCTTCCCTGACCTTTTACGGTTTATGGGGATCGTTCCCCTATCCGAAAGGGTTTTTTTCTACAGTTTGAGGCAGTGGAGCCTTGCCAGCAGGAAAATCGGATGAAATCTGACAGCCAGATAAATCATCGACAGAGTTGTCGAACTCACTGTTTTCCTCGGTACATGGAAGGTGGTGTTCCCAGCCAGATTAATTCTGTAGATCGATTTGATGTCTGGGAACACCTCCTTCCCTTTTCTCTCCGTCTTTTCGGAAGATAGGGGCCCGTCAACCACACACAGGTGCGTAAAAGGCAAACTGGTACACACCATGCCCAAACCAGATGCCATCTTTCGTCAGTTTTGTTACGGGCATAGAGGGACTGTAAAGTGTGTGACGCTGCCCCTGACCATTTCTGGTTGTACAGTTCGTCACTTCATCTTGGTGTGGGGGACCCAGGGTTATCAAAACACGATAAGCAGGCGAACTTCGCTATTGGTGTCCGTTCAATGCCAAGGCACGTTCGGTCGCCCAGATGGAACAGGTGCTGTACAGCATACTGTACTGAGGGAAGTTCTTGGCTGGTGTCTAGCTTCGGGCCAAGCTGCTTGACGGGCATGAGGGAAATTCTTCGATTTGTGTCAGACGTTCCTGGAGGGGGCTGACACCAGGCAAACTTGGCCCGAAGCTAGACACCAGCCAAGAACGTACCCTGAGCCACAGAACCAACCAATCTCAGGGGCAATTTCCCCAACGTCGTTCGTAACAGACATGCGTGTGGATCACTGCTTCTGCTTGCATCATTTCCTTCCTCCGTCTTTTTGTTTCGATCAGCTAGCATGCCAAAAATGAAACCTGCACGGCAGGGCAGTAGACTGCAGAGCAGCAGTCGAAAGACTCCTTGGACGCAGATCCGTTAGCGAGGGTAGCAGCAGCGATGCAGGAAACCTGCTGCTAGGTCAAGAAGTAAGGACGGACTCTCTCGCCGCCGCCACCACATTCCAGACAGCACACCTCGCCTCCCCACAAATGCGGTTTATGCGAAGGACCATCATTGCTGATCGCATCTGTCCTAGGGTTCCTCCTGGCGGCGTGTTACTATGAGATGTCGCTTGTCCTTGTCTCCAGATCCTCGTTTCTGATCTCTGTTCCAGCCAGATCCGTCACGCGCCTAATTTATTTCTCCGATCGCGTGTGGTCACATTACCAGCTGCATGGTCCATGATTCAGCTTTAGGTCGTCCGACATTGATCTGGTAGCCGTTGCATTGATCTCGGAACTCACCAATCACACCTGCCATGGCGTTACGGAAGCAGCCTTTTCCAACAGGCAAGGTTTTGCTTTATTCACCCGCCTGCTCCGGTTAACCAGTTAAAGCGAAGGCATTAGCTGATGTCGCCTCCATTTCTGATTTTTTTTCGTGAAGGGTATTATCGTAGACTGATCCACTGATCAGTTCCATAAAGCGCGAAACTCTCGCACAAAATCGACTAGAGATTGAGTGCTACTAAAGCTGTTTTGAACCAAGTTCTAGGGTTTCAGTCCCGTTCCGAGATCGATGTCTAAGAAAAGGCATGTCGTCATTCTGTACCATTAAGCTTCCCTTATCCGACTCGCAGTGTTATTAGTCTACCGTCCCCGGTAATCTTGGGACAAAATGCTCCCCGTGTCCCATTGTCATTCGCCAGTTAGGGTTTGCCGATCCCGCTAATCATGGTTTGGGGACATTGTCATCGGCGTGTGCGCTTGTCTCTATTATATTTCATCGTCACGAGTAACAGAATATTCAGCCAATCTCTTCGCTGCCGTAACCTAATGTTTCTCTCGTTATTTCCCTATCCTGACGATATGTCCCTC